GAAGAAAAACGCCCGGAACGAGCGTTTTCATCCCCAAAACGCGGAAGGATCCGCGCATGTGCAGAAAGTGCAGCATGCATGGTTCATTCGCCAGCACCAATGACCCATCATGCTCGTCACCCTCTCACGCTCTTGGTGACTCGGTAGTAGGTCCAAACGCACGCAGCCGCGCGGCCGAACGGAAGAAAAACGCCCGGAACGAGCGTTTTCATCCCCAAAACGCGGAAGGATCCGCGCATGTGCAGAAAGTGCAGAATGCATGGTTCATTCGCCAGCACCAATGACCCATCATGCTCGTCACCCTCCCACGCTCTTGCTGACTCGGTAGTAGGTCCAAACGCACGCAGCCGCGCGGCCGAACGGAAGAAAAACGCTCGGAACGAGCGTTTTCATCCCCAAAACGCGGAAGGATCCGCGCATGTGCAGAAAGTGCAGAATGCATGGTTCATTCGCCAGCACCAATGACCGATCATGCTCGTCACCCTCCCACGCTCTTGCTGCCTCGGTAGTAGGTCCAAACGCACGCAGCCGCGTGACCGAACGGAAGAAAAACGCTCGGAACGAGCGTTTTCATCCCCAAAACGCGGAAGGATCCGCGCATGTGCAGAAAGTGCAGCAGGCATGGTTCATTCGCCAGCACCAATGACCGATCATGCTCGTCACCCTCCCACGCTCTTGCTGGCTCGGTAATAGGTCCAAACGCACGCAGCCGCGTGACCGAACGGAAAAAAAACGCTCGGAATGAGTGTTTCCATACCCAAAACGCGGAAGGATCTGCGCATGTGCAGAAAGTGCAGCAGGCATGGTTCATTCGCCAGCACCAATGACCCATCATGCTCGTCACCCTCCCACGCTCTTGCTGACTCGGTCATAGGTCCAAACGCACGCAGCCGCGTGGCCGAACGGAAGAAAAACGCTCGGAACGAGCGTTTTCATCCCCAAAACGCGGAAGGATCTGCGCATGTGCAAAAAGTGCAGCATGCATGGTTCATTCGCCAGCACCAATGACCCATCATGCTCGTCACCCTCCCATGCTCTTGCTGACTCGGTGATAGGTCCAAACGCACGCAGCCGCGTGGCCGAACGGAAGAAAAACGCTCCGAACGAGCCTTTTCATCCCCAAAACGCGGAAGGATCCGCGCATGTGCAGAAAGTGCAGCGGCATGGTTCATTCGCCAGCACCAATGACCGATCATGCTCGTCACCCTCCCACGCTCTTGCTGGCTCGGTAATAGGTCCAAACGCACGCAGCCGCCTGACCGATCGGAAGAAAAACGCTCGGAACGAGCGTTTTCATCCCCAAAACGCGGAAGGATTTGCACATGTGCAAAAAATGCAGCGGGCATGGTTCAATCGCCAGTACCAATGACCGATCATGCTCGTCACCCTCCCACGCTCTTGATGGCTTGGTAATCGGTGCAAACGCTCGCAGCCGCGTGACCGAACGGAAGAAAATCGCTCGAAACGAGCGTTTTCATCCCCACAACGCGGAAGGATCCGGACGTGTGCAAGAAATGCAGCAGGCATGGTTCATTCGCCAGCACCAATGACCGATCATGCTCGTCACCCTCCCACGCTCTTGCTGACTCGGTAATAGGTCCAAACGCTCGCAGCCGCGTGGCCGAACGGAAGAAAAACGCTCGGAACGAGCGTTTTCATCCCCAAAACGCGGAAGGATCCGCGCATGTGCAGAAAGTGCAGAATGCATGGTTCATTCGCCAGCACCGATGACCGATCATGCTCGTCACCCTCCCACGCTCTTGCTGACTCGGTAGTAGGTCCAAACGCACGCAGCCGCGTGACCGAACGGAAGAAAAACGCTCGGAACGAGCGTTTTCAGCCCCAAAACGCGGAAGGATCCGCGCATGTGCAGAAAGTGCAGCATGCATGGTTCATTCGCCAGCACCAATGACCGATCATGCTCGTCACCCTCCCACGCTCTTGCTGACTCGGTAGTAGGTCCAAACGCACGCAGCCGCATGACCGAACGGAAGAAAAACGCTCGGAACGAGCGTTTTCATCCCCACAACGCGCAAGGATCCGCGCATGTGCACAAAATGCAGCAGGCATGGTTCATTCGCCAGCACCAATGACCGATCATGCTCGTCACCCTCCCACGCTCTTGCTGGCTCGGTAATAGGTCCAAACGCACCCAGCCGCGTGACCGAACGGAAGAAAAACGCTCGAAACGAGCGTTTTCATACCCAAAACGCGAAAGGATCCGCACATGTGCAGAAAGTGCAGCAGGCATGGTTCATTCGCCAGCACCAATGACCGATCATGCTCGTCACCCTCCCACGCTCTTGCTGACTCGGTAATAGGTCCAAACGCACGCAGCCGCGTGGCCGAACGGAAGAAAAACGCTCGGAACGAGCGCTTTCATCCCCAAAACGCGGAAGGATCCGCGCATGTGCAAAAAGTGCAGCATGCATGGTTCATTCGCCAGCACCAATGACCGATCATGCTCGTCACCCTCCCATGCTCTTGCTGACTCGGTAATAGGTCCAAACGCACGCAGCCGCGTGACCGAACGGAAGAAAAACGCTCGGAACGAGCCTTTTCATCCCCAAAACGCGGAAGGATCCGCGCATGTGCAGAAAGTGCAGCGGCATGGTTCCTTCGCCAGCACCAATGACCGATCATGCTCGTCACCCTCCCACGCTCTTGCTCGCTCGGTAATAGGTCCAAACGCACGCAGCCGCGTGACCGAACGGAAGAAAAAGCTCGGAACCAGCGTTTTCATCCCCAAAACGCGAAAGGATCCGCGCATGTGCAGAAAGTGCAGCGGCATGGTTCATTCGCCTGCACCAATGATCGATCATGCTCGTCACCCTCCCACGCTCTTGCTGGCTCGGTAATAGGTCCAAACGCACGCAGCCGCCTGACCGATCGGAAGAAAAACGCTCGGAACGAGCGTTTTCATCCCCAAAACGCGGAAGGATTTGCACATGTGCAAAAAATGCAGCGGGCATGGTTCATTCGCCAGTACCAATGACCGATCATGCTCGTCACCCTCCCACGCTCTTGCTGGCTTGGTAATAGGTCCAAATGCACACAGCCACCTGACCGATCGGAAGAAAAACGCTCGGAACGAGCGTTTTCATCCCCAAAACGCGGAAGGATTTGCACATGTGCAAAAAATGCAGCAGGCATGGTTCATTCGCCAGTACCAATGACCGATCATGCTCGTCACCCTCCCACGCTCTTGCTGGCTTGGTAATAGGTCCAAATGCACACAGCCACCAGACTGAACGGAAGAACAACACGCGGAACGAGCGTTTTCATCCCCAAAACGCGGAAGGATTTGCACATGTGCAAAAAATGCTGCGGGCATGGTTCATTCGCCAGTACCAATGACCGATCATGCTCGTCACCCTCCCACGCTCTTGCTGGCTTGGTAATAGGTCCAAATGCACACAGCCGCCTGACTGAACGGAAGAACAATGCGCGGAACGAGCGTTTTCATCCCCAAACGCGGAAGGATCCGCGCATGTGCAGAAAGTGCAGCGGCATGGTTCATTCGCCGACACAAATGACCGATCATGCTCGTCACCCTCGCACGCTCTTGCTGGCTCTGTAATAGGTCCAAACGCACGCAGCCGCCTGACCGATCGGAAGAAAAACGCTCGGAACGAGCGTTTTCATCCCCAAAACGCGGAAGGATTTGCACATGTGCAAAAAATGCAGCGGGCATGGTTCATTCGCCAGTACCAATGACCGATCATGCTCGTCACCCTCCCACGCTCTTGCTGGCTTGGTAATAGGTCCAAATGCACACAGCCGCCTGACTGAATGGAAGAACAACGCGCGGAACGAGCGTTTTCATCCCCAAAACGCGGAAGGATCCGCACATGTGCAAAAAATGCAGCAGGCATGGTTCATTCGCAAGTACCAATGACCGATCATGCTCGTCACCCTCCCACGCTCTTGCTGGCTTGGTAATAGGTCCAAACACACACAGCCACGTGATTCAACAGAAGAAAATCGCTCGGAACGAGCGTTTTCATCCCCAAAACGCGGAATGATATGCACATGTGCAGAAAATGCAGCAGGCATCGTTCATTCGCGAGTTTCAATGACCAATCATGATCGCCACCCTCCCACGCTCTTGGTGGCTTGGTAATAGGTCCAAACGCACACAGCCACGTGACCCAACGGAAGATAAACGCTCGGAACGAACGGAAATGTTAGAGCCCCTATAATCTCGGGTGTTTTGCAGGAAGGATGGGGAATGTGCATTTAGTGTACACATCCGATATAAGGCTGAAAAATCAGTGTTAAGTATGAAATTAAGGCTGAAAAATCAGTGCCACTAAAATCAAAAGTCTGGAAAATCATTGTAGGTACAGAGAATTTGGCTGAAAACCAGGAATTTCAGGGTAAAAACCCTGATATCTGAGGGTCTGTCGCCAGCTTGCTACATCTAACCACGCCTCGCCTGCAGGTCGGTTGGTGTTGGTCCTCCCTCTGATGCAGCCAGTAGTACTGAATTTGTAAATAGATTCTCATTACATGTATGCTTGCTCAGTTTCAAGGTGTCAGCCACAGTTGGTCAGAAGAAACTGCCATCACATTATTGTACCTGTTTGAACAAAATGCCAGCTGCAATTACGTTTTAATTATTTATCAATAATATATATCCTTCAAAAGGTCACTAAATATGGAAGAGATACCACCACCCTGTTGTGGTGCCTGGAGATACCGTCACGTACATATCTGCCTACGGTATCAATATGGATTGGAAGAGATACCACCACCCTGTTGTGCTGCCTTTTTTCCCACAAACATGGCATACTGTACTACTCTCCCATGATTGCCTGCCTTGCGACCAAACATGCTCGATTCTCTTGACAGACAACAAGTGCAATATTGTGCTGCTGAATGAAATCAACAAGAGTTGCAGTCTCAACGCAAAGCAGTGCGTTGCAGTAAGGTAGCAGTCCGTCAACCTTGTGAACAAGGCCAACTCAGCTGCCACCGTGCTGGTTGGTGGCAGCTACCTAGAAGGGCTGGTTGCGGCACTCTCTCAGGATGACAGGCACGCTCGATGTGGGCACCTGGTAGGCACGCAGGCAGGCACATGGGGCGGTGGCGCATGGGGCGGTGGCACATGGGGCGGTGGCACATGGGGAGGTGGCACATTGGGAGGTGGCACATTGGGAGGTGGCACATTGGGAGGTGGCACATTGGGAGGTGGCATGCACGGGGGAGACAAGCTGCAATGGTGGATGAAGATGGATGGGATGAAGGGTGCCTTGGATGGATGGATGCGGCACGCGCATGTGACATGGGGCATGGGGCATGGGGCATGAGACATGGGGCATGTGACATGTGGCGTGCTGCATGTGCATCTCACCACGCCAATCTCGGTGACAATGCCCGTGATGTAGTCTGCTGGGGTGAGGTCAAACCTGCTCATGCCCACACCCGTGCACCGATGCACACACACAGGCACACATGCAGGGAGGCGCACACATGCAAGCAGGCACACATGCAAGCAGGCACACATGCAAGCAGGCACACATGCAAGCAGGCACATGCAAGTAGACACACGCAAGTAGACACATGCAAGTAGACACATGCAATATCACATACGTATGCACAGCCGCAAGAGCTCATTAGACAAGACGAGGAGCACGGATATAAGTACTGAGAATGTGCAAGAGGGAAAAGGCAGGATACATTGGAGGGGGCAAGGCGCAGGAAAATGGAATTGGTAATCACAAATTGTACGAGCATGTGAGTATGAGGGAGTTGATGCCGAGGACGTGAGGGACAGGGAGTGTGGCAAGAGCACGTGGGTGAGAGGCAGTGTGACCGAGGGGCAGCGTGAGGGAGGGGCAGTGCGAGGGAGGGGCAGTGTGAGGGTACTGGATGTTGAGGGGGCGCAAGTTGGGTGTGCTCTGCCAGTGCTGCAACGGTGCCGCCTCCGCCGCCTCTGATGCTTCTGGTGCGTCCGATGGGAGCGGTGAGATTGGTGAGAGCGGTGAGACGCCCGTGCTGATGAGCACTTGTGGATCGCCTGTGGGGAAGCAGAGGGAGGCCAACAAGTGATGAGGGAAGGCGGTGAGTGGGAGATGGGGTGAGGAGTAGATGATGCAATGTGCAGCAGAGGACTTTGAGTCACAACAAGTCAACGTGAGTCAACGCAAGTCAACGTGAGTCAACGCAAGTCAACAGGGTCAACGCACCGATCTCGTTGTGGGTGATGGAGTCGAGTTGCACGCGCTCGTGGAACTTGCTGGACTCGCAGCACACCAGCACCGGCACGCGCTGTGCATGCGCCATCATCGCCACCGCTGCCGTCCCCACCCGCGCATACGCTGCCCCGTTCGCCAGTACTGCTGCCGCCCCCAGGAACACACGTGTCACGTCCTGATTGGGTGGCGGGCAGAGGTTGGGATGAGTGAGAAGAGGGGGAGAGGAGGAAGAGGGATGGGCGAGTGGAGTGGAAAATGAACACCACTTCGTCACACATGCTGAGCGGAGAAAGATTAGACTCACACTTATATCAACATCCTCTCTGCCCTCCTGCCGCTGCCTCACCTTCATGATGTACGATGCGGCGTTGAGCCTTAGATACAGACAAGAGATGCCGCCCGTGAGCAGGCGGCGCACCATCTCCTTGCCCTCCAGGTGCGGCCGTGAGTCCACCACTATGGCTCTGAACCTGTGCCCCGCTCGCGCTGCCGACAGCAGCACCTGGGGGGACGGGGAGAGGAAGGAGGAGAGGAGAGGAAGACATTGGGACATAAAGGAGAGAGCAAGACGAGAGGGAAGAAGGAAGTCAGCCAATGAAAAACCAACACCATTCCTCACCGCTCCTAACCACCCTTCACAGCTCCTCACCTCCAGAACAAGTTCGGACCACCCAAAGGTGAGAATGACATCGCCCTCCCGGAGTATCTTCCCCGCAGCGTGCCGCACCACCTCCTGCCCCGCAAACACCAGCTTCTCCGCCACCACTGCCGCCCGGCGCCCGCGCCACAGGACACAAGAACCAACCATCAACACTCACCTCCAGCACGAGTTCAGACCACCCAAAGGTGAGAATCACATCGCCCTCCCTACGAATCTTCCCCGCGGCATGGCGCACCACCTCCTGCCCGGCGAACACCAGCTTCTCCGCCACAAATCGGTCGATCTCCGCCACCACCGCCGCGCGCGCCGCGCCCTCCTGCACACCCGGGTCCGCGCCCATGCGCGTGAGGCACTGCTTCAGCGCTCGCACCGCGTTGCCCATGCCGACGGAGAGCGGCCGGCACGCGATGAGGAAGGCGACGTGCGCGTTGAGGCGCGCTGTGAGGTCGCGGATGGGGGGGCGGTTGTCCGGGACGCGGTGGTCGAGGAAGAGGCGGCGCAGCGCGTGCAGCATGGCCAGGCACCGCTCGTTGCCGCCCTGCAGGCGCTGCTCCTGCTGTAGGAACCGCATCCCCACCTGCCGTAGGGGGGGAAGCGAGGTGTGGGAGGGAGGGGGTGTTAGGTGCAGGAAGGTGAGGTGAGGATGGAGAGGCAAGGGGGGAAAGTGAGAGGTTAGAGGAGAAGGGGTGGGGGCAAGTGCAGGAGGCATATGACCCCTTGCCCAGGAGGTTAGAGGAGGCATATGACCCCTTGCCCAGGGATGCAAACCGTAGACGGCAAGAGACACACCCGCCGAGGCGCAGGAGGCATCCCACCCCACCCCACTCCACCTCACGCCACTCCACCCCACCCCACCTCGTAGACGGCGGGGTGCACAGAGAGGGGGGAGTCCTCCTCGTCCAGCAGGGGGCAGAGGTGCACGAGGCATCCCACCCCACCCCACCACACCCCACCCCACCACACCCCATCACACTCCACACGCGCGCACCTCATAGACAGCAGGGTGCACGGAGAGTGGGGAGTCCTCCTCGTCCAGCAGCCGCGCCTCCACGAGAGCAATCTGTGCCGCCCGGTCAAACTGCGGCAGGTGCCGGAACAGATCCACGCGCAGCGACGAATCCACTGCTGCCACGTCAGCCATCAGCTGCTGCCACCCCCCACGGAGCGAGCTCGACTTGTGCTGCCCGTCCTCCCCTCCCCGCCCTCCCCCTCCCTTTCCCCCACCGCCTCCTCCGCCCTTCTGTGCGCCAGCCACGCTCCCACTGCTGCTGCGCCCACCCCCATCCGCGTCCCCTCCCCCCGTCCCGGCAGCAGACACTGCAGCGGATTCCCCGCTTGCCCTCCTCCCTCCGCCCTGCTGCCCGCCCTCCTTCCCCTTCCCACCCTTGCCCCCTCCTCCACCTGCCCCTCCTGCGCCCTTTCCACCTGCACAGTCGTAAAGGGAGGCAGAGGGAAGCGAGGGATTGGCGACAGGTCATGGCATTGCATAGCATGGGATGGCATGGGATGGGGGGCATGGCAGGATGGGCACAGGCATGGTACGGCATGGCATGGTGTGCATGAGCACACACGTGGTGCGACCCTTCGTCAGAAGCAGCAGCAGCAGCAGCGGCCTTGGCAGCGGGCCCTATATCTGCACTCTGCACCCAACGAGCCATACTCACCTTTACCACCGCCGCCGCCAGCACCACCAGCAGCAGCAGCGGCCTTGGCAGCGCGCTGGGCCTCCTGCACGGCGCGCCTCTCCGCCTTTGACGTCACCTTCTTGCCCCCCGCCATCACCGCTGCCCAGGGGGGAGACAGAGGGGGAGGGGAAGGGGGGAAGAATGAGATGGGGGGAAAGAGGTTGTGGAGAAGGCTCAATGCGCTGACTGAGGAGAAAGAAGAAGCAGAAACTCAATGCGCTGACTGCTCCTTCTCCCCTCGTCCCACACCCCCCTCCCCAACTTGTTACCACGATGCCATGCTGTTATGATGCCACAATGCCACCTCACCCGCCCCACAGCCATGCCATGCCATGCTAGCATGCTAATCCATCCGCGCCCCCCTCAATGCCCCCCCTCTTGCCAGCCTGGTGGCAACACGCACTGGGTAGGGACGCGGGCACCACAGCGGAGGCGGCTTTGGCGGCGCCCCGCACGCCAAGGCTCCCCGCACTCCGCGGACTCCCCCCCGCGCTGCTGCTGCTGTCCGCCGGCGACCTCCCCGCGCCCGCTGCCCCTCCCGCCGCCCCCGCTGCTCCGCCCGCCCCTCCACCCCCGGGGGCCGCCCCCCGCCCCGGCGCGCCCGCCTGCTTTTCCCGGCTCGGTTTTGCGCCATCCGCCGCTTCCTGCTGCGCCGCCGCCGCACCCGCGCGGGCGACAGTGGCGGAGGAAACAGATAGGATTGGTCCACTGACGTCAGACACGGACCCGAACACCGCGCCGGACGGGGCCGCTGACGTGGCGGACGATGATAGGTAGGAATCGTCCGGCGGGAGACTTTCGGAGCACTCGCTGCCTTCCGCGATGGGCGAGGGGCGTTGATACGACGGCAGCGGCACGTTGATCGGCAGCGACGGAATCGGCGGGACCGACGGCACGAAAGGCGGCGACGGCGACGCGGACGCGAGGAACGGCAGCGGCGGCAGCCCGTCGCCGTCGGCGGCGGCTGCGGAGGGGTCTCGCGCGGGCTGCGCGCCTGACTGGCCAGCGGGGGGTGCGGCAGAGGGCGCGAAGAAGCCGACCTGGCGCACGATGGGGTCGTTGTGTGCCGCGCGCCCCGTGTGATCCATCGCTCGCTGCGCCTCGCTGCCTCTCCGACTGGCAGGCTTTGCTCACTGTCCTATGCGCTTTGTCGCTGCCTCTGCGCCTCGCTGCCTCGGCGGCTCACTCGCTCGCTAACTACCTCGCCGCCTCTCACTCGCTCGCAGCGTCTCGCTACACTGGCTGGCTGCCCGCCGTGCGCTCGCGCTGCGTGCCGCGAATGCTCGCTGGCGCGTCTGCGATAACGCGACTATAAGGACCGGCGATTGAGGAGGCTATGAGGGAATGATCGCGATGCGAATGGCGGAACCAATGTCGTGGCTGAAGAGCGGTCGGGCGAGGGCGTAGGGATTTATCGTGGGACAGCTCTGGGCAAGCTGCGATCATTCAACCTCGATAGTGGGTTCACCGACCTTGTACCAAGTCACAGAATGGAGGTCGTTCGCATAAGCTGGTTCAAGCAGGCAACTTTGTGCACGCAATTAACGAAGCCATTCGCTGCGACCATATTTTACCTGGAACTTGGTAATAACACTATTCTGACATTCTTGCATCCCACTAGCTATCATGGATGGACAAATGCTTTCACACCAACAACAAATTAATCTTCTAACAAAACAGAGCCATGGGGAACACCATGTTTCACCCCATGGCAGGCTGACACAGCCTACTGACAAATCCTCAAAACTGTAGCTATTTCTGTATTTTGTGGATGGTGCGTTGCCACGTGCCGGTGCTGGGCACGAAGCGCAGCTCCCAGGTGGGCCAGTAGTGCAGGTCCTGCTTCAACGTCAGCACCCGCGGCTTGCCGTTCAGATGCACCACCTTCACCCTCACAAACGCCCCGTGCTCCAACTCCTGCCACGCGGAGAGAGGGAAGGGGAGGGGAAGAGGGGGATGTGTGTGTAAATATGAAGCTCCAGCCCCTGAGAGAACAAATACGGGGGAGGGGTTTGAGGGGTGAAGGAGAGAGGGAGAGCAGCAGAGGAAGGACAGGGGTGGCGATGGAAGAGGGAATTGGAAATGACAAAATGGTGGACGAGATGAGAGAGAGGAAGAGAGGAAGGGGAGGCAGAGCGGCAACTCTGTCATATTTCCCTGCAACTGTGAATATGGTCTCACCTGGCTGATGGCAACCAGTGCATCGAGGTCGGGCACAGGACGGCCGTTGATCTCCACGATCCAATGGAGAGCGTACAGCCCGTAGCGGTGCGCTGGGCTGCCGTGGCACCACCTGTGAGTGCGGGCAGTGGGTGGCATGGAGTAGGAAGGAGAGGAGGGCAATGGAGGTGAGGGAGGGATGGAGGAACACCCATGACCAACGTCATCAACTACATCACACAGTAGCAACCTCCTCTCTTAATATTCCCTCCAGTGCTCCACTTCTTGCCCCGCAAGCACCTCACACCTGGCAACATATGCACCATAGACCTGCGAGGGCAGGAAGCGAGTGGTGGTGACAAGGGGGTGGGGGTCCTGCACGACTCACGAAAACGTATGAAAAGGCACCGCACATCACGCACTCAACCCACCCACCTGGCAACATAAGCGCCGTGGCCCTGCGAGGGCAGGAAGCCAGTGACGCGGACAGCGGGGTGGGGGTCCTGCACGACTTCTGAAACGTCTCAAAAATCACCTCACACAACGCCCCCAACCCACCCACCTGGCAACATAAGCGCCGTGGCCCTGCGAGGGCAGGAAGCCAGTGGCGCGGACAGCGGGGTGGGGGTCCTGCACGACTTCTGAAACGTCTCAAAAATCACCTCACACAACGCCCCCAACCCACCCACCTGGCAACATAAGCGCCGTGGCCCTGCGAGGGCAGGAAGCCAGTGGCGCGGACAGCGGGGTGGGGGTCCTGCACGACTTCTGAAACGTCTCAAAAATCACCTCACACAACGCCCCCAACCCACCCACCTGGCAACATAAGCGCCGTGGCCCTGCGAGGGTAGGAAGCCGGTGGCTCTGACAGCAGGGTGCGGGTCCTGCACGAGGCACCCCGCCCAGTTCACCACTCGCGTCGTGCCGAATCCGTGCCGCACGTCCGTGCCCGCCTGCACCCGCTGCTCCCTGCCCTGCCGCAGTATCGTCAGACTCAATGACGCCCGGCCCGCTTCCCCTGCTGCTGCTGCCTCCCCTGCTGCTGCGGCCTTCCCTAAATTCTCCTTTCCACCTGCACTTCCTGGTGCCTCTACTGCAGCCTCCGCTGTACCATTTGTTGCAGTCATCTCTCCTCCTGCTGCCGCCGAACCGGTAGGCTCCCTGCTCCCTGTCTCACTCACATGCCCATTCCCAGCGCCCTCTCTCCCGCCACTCCCCCCATCCCCCGCCACCAGCCCTGCATCCAGCTCACAGCAGGCCGCTTCCACATCAGCGAAGCACGTGACGGGGCGGCCATTGACAGCGAGCAGCATATCGCCCTGCTGCAGCACGCCAGCCACAGCAGACCCCGCCAGGGTGCCCTTCACTCGCAGCACCTGCCGCCGCACGGGGTCGGCACTCGCCAGCACGTGCACCCAGTGCTCTGAGAGGCCGAAGCTCCTGGCCTTGGAGAGCAGCATGGGGGCGAGCTCTGCTTCTAGCACTCGCATGCGCGGCATGGCCCACAGCCGCCCGTTCATCAGCAGGCTGTTGTCTGCCCCCGCCTCCTGCTGCTGCTGCTGCTGCTGCTGCTCACCGGCCTTGTCTCCCTCCTCCGCCACCTCTGCCTTGCTTGTCCCCTCGCCTGCTTCTCCTGCCAGGCCGTTGCTTTTGACGTGAGGTGCGGTGGGGAGAGCGGGAGTGGGAGAGGGAGTGGTGGGTGGGAGCGTGCGGAGGGGCTTGGAGGGGGAGGCGTGGATGATCTGGTGGAGGGCGGAGGAGATGAAGGAGATGGGCAGCCCGCGCACAAACTGCAGATCGTCCGTTCCGCCATCGCCGTACTTCAGCTGGAAGAGGGGAAGAGGGGGGAACGGTTTGGGAGGAGAGGAGGTGGTTCAGGACAGGGATTGGTCCTTTGAACGCTTACAGTGGAGTATGGCGGTGGGAAAGACAGCTTTCATCTGAACAACAGATGGCAGAGGTTCAGAAGGAGGAAGGAGGAGAGAAGGGGCGACGTCGAGCTCAGAGACTGATAATGGAAGGGAGCCTGGGGACGCTCGGGGCAAAGAGGGAGAGCATAAGGGAGGAGAGAAGCAATGCATCAAGCGAGAGGAGGGAGAGGAGGAGGGAGTAGAGAAGGGAGGAGCGGGGCAAGGAAGCAGCGTACGAAGGTGGAGAAGGAGCCCCAGAGGGCTCTCACAGCGCCCGAGTCATCCGCCAGCACGCCCGAGAAGGACTGCCCGAAGTCTGTGAGACACAGAGGGCAAAGTGCACAGAGTGCACAGGGTGGTCGGGATGGGGTTAGCAATGCACCTGCAGGGTGGAGAGTGCTTACTTCTGGAGTAATCGCTGTGGGCACCGTAGGCCAAGTTGTGGCAGCATGAGCGCATGTAAAAGGAGCGGTGGGGAGCATCCAGCCCTGTGCACTCACCCGTGTCGATTTCCACAACGTCCATGTTGATGGAACGGTACCGCGGGCAGTCAGCGGCGCCCACAGTGAGCGTGGCAGCATGAGTGCATGCAACAGGCGTGTAAAAGCGCCTCTCAAACCCTGTCCGCCTCACCCCACCGCACTGCACTCACCGGTGTCGATTTCCACAACATCCATGTTTATGGAACGGTACCGCGGGCAGTCAGCGGCGCCCACAGTGAGCGTGGCGGTGGGATTCGTGACCACCGATTGCCGGGACGTCACCGCCTGGCTGCGGCTGAGCCCCACCAGGTGCACTCGGTCGCCCCGCTGCAGCGCAGGGGAGGGCTTGAGCAGCACCCCAGCCCCTCCCCACCCACCCACCCACCCCACCGCACCGCACCGCACTGCACTCACCCGTGTCGATTTCCACGACGTCCATATTAATAGAGCGGTACCGCGGGCAGTCAGCAGCGCCCACGGTGAGCGTGGCGGTGGGATTCGTGACCACGGACTGCCGGGACGTGACGGCCTGGCTGCGGCTGAGCCCCACCAGGTGCACTCGGTCGCCCCGGCGTAAGGCAGGGGAGGGCTTGAGCGTGGCGGGCTTCACTGCCGCCGCTGCTGCTGCTCCGAGGGCTGACGGGTCGTACGCCACAAAGGCAAAGTTGTGCACCGGGTGCAGGAACACCACCTGGGAGGGGAGGGGGAAAGGGGTGGGCGGTGGAAAGTTGGGTGTGGTGGGTTAGGGAGGAGGAGGGAGGGCGATGCGTGCAGCACATGTGAGAGGGGTCATAGGCAAAGGCAAAGTTGTGCACCGGGCGGGGGAGGGGGAGGAGAGGGAATAGAGGTGGGTTTAGTGTTGGTTTGCGTGTGGTGGTTCAGGGAGAGGGAGAGAGGGAGGGTGTGTAGCACAGGTGGAGATAGACGGTGACAGCGGATTAGATGGACAGGAGGAGGGAGAGAGAAGAGGAGAGTGGGAGGGAGGGCACGAGGGGCTGACCTCCCCAGGGACCTCAACAGGGTAGGCGGAGAAGGAGAGCATGATGTCAGAGACGGAGACGGGGGGATGGATGGATGCTGCTTGATGGGTGAGATAGAGGGCAGTGGAGAGACAAGGACCGTTCAGTGACAAGGACTGTTCGAGCAACATGGAGAAAGGGAGGGTAGGCACCAAGCGCTCACCTCCCCGGGGACCTCAACAGGGTAGGCGGAGAAGGAGAGCATGATGTCAGAGACAGAAACAGCGACGGTGTTGCGGTCCACCACGATGAGCCCCAGCTGTGGCGTGTGGTGCACCACGAGCGCCGTGCCAAAAAAGTGCTGCGCGTGCACCCCGTCCACCATCACTGACGATGGCACGTGCACCTGGGACGGAGGAAATGGAGGGAGGGGATAAATAGCATGAACAAAAGTGACATAATATGTGTGCATACCGCCCCACCATCACTGATGATGGGGGGGGGGGAGGGATGTGGGTGGGAGGGAGGGAAAGGGATGGGAAGCGGCGGAAATGGGGGATGGGAAGGTGAGGGAAAGTGAGGCAGAGGCTGACAGCAGAGGCAGGACGCAATAAGAGGGGAAAAGGATGTGGCAAGGCGAAAGTGCTGCATACACCCACCTCCATCATGACAAACGCGGGCTCCAGTGCACTCTCAACCAATGAGCTCGTGCCAGCTGGCTTGGCTGCTGACTCTGCTCCATCCGCAGCAGCAGCAGCGGGCTCGCCCCCATCAGCTACTACTGCAGTCTCCTCTGCCTTGCGCTTCTTGCTTCCTTCCCCTTCGCCCTCCTCCTCTCCTCTCGCCCTCTTCTCCCCCCTCTGCTGCTCCTCTCCGTTCGCACCTCCCGTTTTCGACCCTTCCTCCTCCTTCTTGCCTTCACCATCACCATCGGCAGCAGCACCATCAGCAGCCGCAGCACCATCAGCAGCAGCACCACCAGTATCGGCAACAGCAGCGCCAGCAGCAGGAGGAGGGGGGAGCGCGGAGGCGATGCGCCAGAGCCCAGTGGAGTCATCCCTACAGTACATCTGGGGCGGCGCATACCACGCATGCCGGTCCACCAGCAGCAGCACCGACTTGGGTCGGTGCCGCTCCCCATGCGTCACATACTCTATCGGCACTCTCGCCCCCGCCTCCAACCCCGCAAACACGCGTATAAACGCCTCCAAGTCCGGCACGTCCTGGTCTGCAAGCTTCTGGATGATGGCGAAGCGGGGGACGCCGGCGCGGGAAAGCATGTAGCCCGGCTCGGAGACGTAGACGAGGCCGCAGGGGAAGCGGAAGTTGCGCGCCTGCTGGTAGGAGAGCGCGTGGAGGACGCCCCCTGAGAGCTCGAGGAAGCGGTCGGGCGTGACGGCGTGCAGGTCGTGCACTGTGAGGGCGAGGGAGAGGGGCGCGCCGCCGCGCTCCACGTCGAGCGTCACGGTGCCGCCCACAGCGTCGTCTAGAATGGCTTCCAGCGCTAGGAACTGCGTGAGCACCTGCGAGGAGGTGGGGAGTGGGGGGTGGAGGGGAGGTCAGGAGGTGTGGAGAGGAGAACGTGGTGAGGTGATGGAGGGGGACATGGGGATGATGGGGGACGAGAAGGACTTCAGTTGAGAGGAATAGTGAGAGAGGATGCCCCGCCAAGAGAACGAAGCAAGTTAAAGGGGGAAGGAAGAGATGAGAGGAAGCGAGGCTCGCTGCTCACCTTGCCATCGACTCGCACGAGGATGTCCCCGGGCTCCAGTCTGCATCCCAGTCTACCACAAACAACCCGTCCCGGCCACACGCTCCACCTGCACCTCTCTATCCCCCCGCTGCCACCACCCACACACCTTGCCGTTGACGCGCACGAGGATGTCTCCGGGCTCCAGGCTGCCTTCAGCAGGGCCGCCCGGCACGAGCGAGTCCACCACCAGCAGCCCCGTCTCCGCCGCCCCAGCCTCGCGCCTCACCTCCGCCTCCGTCTCTCGCCTCAGCCCCAGCCGCCGCGTCTCGTCAAACCCCTTGTGAATCAACGTCACCTGGTGAAGTGGTGGGAAAAGGGGAGGGAGGGGAGGGGAGGGCAGGAGGGTAGAGGGCGCAGGGGAGAGGGGAAAGGGCGCAGGGGAGAGGGGAGAGGGCGCAGGGGAGAGGGGAAAGGGAGTCGGAGGTGGAGCGAGGGGCCACGCTTGGGGAGGAGCAGGAAGTGCTACATTCAATCAAGTGTAACAAGTGTTCCAGTGCTGGTACGACCTCTCTGAACAAGCCCCAAACACAACGCAGCAGCAAGACCCGCTCTCTCCCCTCCCTTCTCCATGTCCGTGGCCCCTGAACCATCCTTCCCCCCCTGCTGCGCGCCCACCCACCTGCAGGGTGCCGCGGGTGACGACGGGCGGGCTCCACGTGTGCACGACGAACCCGCCGCCCTCCTTCTCCGCGAAGCACGCCTGGATGGCGCCCAGCGCGCGCACCACGCGGTCCAGCGGAAGGAAGAACGCGCTCGCGCTCGACGACTTGCTGCCCGCGTTCAGCGCCACGGCGCACCCGCGCGAGTCGATCACGGGCGACCCGCTCGACCCGCCCTTGGTCCCCGACGCGGCTTGCAAGTAAAACGTATTAAAGTCATTATATCCGTCCTTTTTGTACACGGGCGCGTCGCGATCCAACCGCGCGATGGTCCCGGCGAGAATCGACACCTTCTCGCCGCTGTCGTTGCCCACGACGCGGATCTCGAGCCCCACGGCGGCGGCCTCGGGCGCGAGCGGGATGTCTTGATACTCGAGGAACTGCACGGCGGCGGGGTCGAAGTGAAAGAACCCGAAGTCGTGCACGGGGTCGCGGTAGATCGGATGCACGGGCACCTCCTCGCGGTTCAGAAACATCGCCTCCGCCACCACCGGGCCTGGCGGACGCGCGCGCGCGGGGACAAGGGGGGACGAGCAAGGGGACGGGTGTGGGGAAGGGCGCGGGGACGGGCGCGGAAAGACGGAACGGGCCGTTTCGAAGACGGACGCGCGGATCCCAAGGGAGTGGGCATGCGGGAGTGAGGGAACGATGCGGGTGGTGAGGCAAGAGATGGCATTGAATTCGGGAGCGGGAGCGCAAGATGCAAGAGAGAGGGAGAGGCGCGCGGACCGGGTTTGACGACATGGCGGTTGGTGAGGATGATGCCGCGGCGGCGGTCGACGATGAAGCCGGTGGCGTAGCTGGAGTTGGCGGACTCCGTGTCGAACGCGCGCACCACCGTCACGCGCAGCACCACCACCGCCGGCACCACCCGCGCCAACGCGCGCCGCCAGTCGTCCGACGACGCTGCGGGAAGGAGCAGGGATGGTAGGCGTGGGAGTAAGGGGGTTGGTTGGCAAATGAGGCACCGTGTAATGAATCTGGCGGAGAATTCGGTGGTTGAAAGGACTAATTAACTAGCGATGATGTGGGAAACTGCCGTGATCAGGCCAGCTGAACCTAATCCCGCGGACACGCTAACAGACGGGTCGAATCGATGAAGAAATGCGCTAAAAGATATCGTGCTAACGGAGAGATTATGATTACGCGAGATGGCGCTAGCAGTTAGATCGTGCAAACGGAGAAAGCGCGCCGAATTCGCGAATATCAAGAGAGTACCTGAATGTCCTTCCACCACGGGGTCGATCTCCATCCGGACCGTGCTACGCTGCTAGCCGGTTAAACGATGAATGGGTCTCTATCGCACGTCCTGCGAGCATGTGCAGAATAACGAAACAGGCCTTAATGCCTAACGGTGGTCGCAGGTGCTGTCGCGAGGAGACGGCGATCACCAGAAGTCGTTCCGAAAATAGATAATCGCTTCTTGACTCGTGAAGCGAAGTTGATGCAGAAGTCCAGGCAAGGCATGGAGTGAAGTGGAATCTAGGTGGGCATTGGGCATTGTGGCGAGAATAGAGGTGGAGTGCAGAATCGAAGCTCCCAAGGTGCCATTCATGTGGATGGTCACCAACAAAGAGGACCTCGATAAAACAGTTCAGTCAAGAGACAGTGTGAATGATATACGGTATTTTCTGTAGTCCTTTTCTTGTTATAGTGATAAGGTTACAGTACAGTATTTCGTCAGAATGCTTTTGCAAGCTGAGCTTGCCACCTTGCCACCTTGCTTTGTTACAATAGGCTTTCGCTTCTCTCCGTTCTCCATGTCGGCTGGGCTCCTCCCTTCAACCATCAGCGTGTGCGCGGTTGTTAGATCTTCGCATGCCTGCCTATTGCCCTTCCCATACTATTGTCGATTTGTCTGGGCGAGCGGGCGCTGTTTCTCCGGTTGAGTGTGGCTGACTCCTGGATCGGACATGCATTTTGAGTATTTATGCTTCTGCTGATTGATCAAATTTTCTTGGTCAAGTTCAGATGTCCTTTTCTTGCTGGCTGTAGCTTATCCTGGATTGGATGTGCTTGCTCAACTGGTCCAGCCTACGCACATCCCTTGTCTGGTGGATCTCTCTGGATAGGTGTGTGACATCTGTCGCTTCGTTTGGGGTGTACGTACCTGTATTTGACTAGGCAAGCCTGCTTCCTTTGTTGGTGCGCGTACCTTACCGTACCTCACCGTACCTCAGCGTACTTCATTATACCTTGCAGTACCTTACAGTACCCTACGATACCTCAGCATCCGTTATCATAATTTACAAGGCCTAGCACTAATTAAGTACCTACCTCGCTACTGCTACTGCTGCTATTGCCGACGCCCTTGCCTCTAGATAACATGCGAGGAGAGGAAAGGGACGCAGGGAGGATGGGACGTTAGTGGCGAGGACGGTTGACAATTGCATGAAAGCAGCCTGACACTGATGACCTGAGGAAGATGACTTCTTTTTATAGCAGAGAAGGAGCCGGCATAAGTACAAGAACTGGAATAGAATGAAAAGGCCAAGGTGAATGGGGCTCACCACGTGAGAGCATGAACCCCCAACAGAGACTCTCCCTGTGCATGTCCACGCCAGGTGACGACTGAGCTGATTCGCTCCTCCCATGCCAGTGCAGGCACTGCCAGGCACGGATGGGGGAGACGGTCGAGGGAAGGGGATGGGAAGGGAGAAAGGTGGGAAATTGGAGGTGCACCGCAGGTCATTACAGCACGCAGAGTAAACACGCGGAGGGAGAGATCAAAAGCACAAGGGAAGGGATGAGTTATGAAAAAACTCAAACCATATTTGACGTGCTTCCAGCCCAAACCATACCTGAGGCGGAAGGCAGAGGGGCCAATTGAGAAGCTCAGAGCACGCAGGCAGCACAGGAGGCAGAGGGGCTGCTGGCCGGTGGGGCAGCTCAAAGCAGGAGGCACACACGGAGGTTGTCTAAAGAGGGTGTGGTATTGGCTGTGCGGCTGGGCTTGACCTGGAGCTTGAACCTGGAGCATGGCTGTTGCTGTGCCCTTGGGTCTCAGAGCAGGAGGCACCGGCACCACAGCAGCGAACACAGCACAGACACGAGCACAGAGGAGAGTGCGTCAGAGGCAGCAGAAGAAACGGACTTAAAAGAAACAGAAATCAGGTCCAAGACTTGCCGCGCGGCGACCTAGACTCTTCTTTCCCCCCAATAGACCTTCGCAACGCCTTACCGTACTGCCAGGCCGAGCCACGTGGTGAGGACCCTCACTCACACACCATCTCCTCGATGAGAAGCACCACCCCTTGGCAAGAATGTTGCTGTGTGCTTGGGTCTCAGTGCAGGAGGCACCCGCACCACAGCAGCGAACACAGCACAGAAACGAGCACAGAGGAGAGTGTGTTAGAAGCAGCAGGGAAAACAGACTCATAACTAACAAAATTCGATTCTGAGACTTGCCGCACGGCGACCTAGACTCTTCTGCCCCCCCCATAGACCTGCCCAGCCACTTACCTACTGACAGGGCGAGCCATGCTGCGAGCCATGTGCTGATTATCCTCTCCCGCACAGCACCCTCTCTTGTATCCGTCCCTGCTTCCCCCTTCCATCCTTCCCTTCTTTCCTCCTCCCTTTCTTCCCTCCGTCCCTCCCTTTCTGCCTCCTCCCCTCCTCCCCTCCTGCCCTCTAGTGCTACTGCATGCACGTTGATGCTGTTACTACCGCCATGCCTGTTGCGTGATGGGGGGGAGAAAGGGAGAGAAGGGAAGCAAAGGGGAGTACGTTGAGAAGAGCACGTTCTCGGATGCATAAGCAAGCCAAGCCCAAGAGAATTGGCAGAAGTAAAAAGTCCAGGGAATAATAACGGAGAATAAACCCCACATACTCCCCTTGCAACCACAGAGGACAGAAATGGAAGTTGCAGGAGGGGAGAAGGGGAAGTGATGGGGATCGAATGGAACTCACCTGCTGCAGCTAAAATCAACCTCTCTCTTGCACTTCCCATTGTTGCTTCTGCTTGCGTTGCTGCTTCGCTCCTCGCCAGGTGACGGCTGTTTGCATCGCTCCTCCCACGCCAGTGCAGGCAGCTGCATGGATGGGGGAGAGGGACAAGGGAAAAGGGGTGAACGAGACCAAAGGAAAAGGTGGGGGAACAGCGTAGGTCATGACCGCAAGCAGAGTGATTGATATGGCTTAATGAAATGAACAAGCAAGGGAGGGAGAGATCTGGCATAAGGGAGGGGACATGAATTTGATCTGATCTGAACCCAAACAACAGTTGAGGGGTTACCTGAGGGCGCACCTGAGAGGGTACCTGAAACTTGAGGGGTCACCTGAGGGGTACCTGGACTGTTACCTGAGGGGGCACCTAAGGGGGTATTCATGTGTGTGTGCGCATGCACGCATCCGTGTGTGCATGCATGAGCGCACGTGTGCGTGTGTGCTCATGGGAATGCACATGCCCGAGTGCATGTATGCAAGGAAGAAGATACGCTCACCCATGCGAGTGTCTGTACTCCCCTTTGAGTGACGCTTAGCACCCATGCTAGTGCCGATTCCCCCTCCGCCATCCTCCTTCCGCCCTTCTCCCGACCTCCCTCCGCCCTTCTCCCGTCCTGCCGTCGCTCGGGAGGTGTTGAACCTCGCAGCAGCGAAGCACACACAAGACAGGAGCAAGCACACAGGAGGGTGCGTCTGAAGCATCAGAGGAGGCGGACTGAGACTTGCCGCACGGCGACCTAGACTCATCTGCCCCCCCAATCGACAAGCCCAACGACTTACCGTACTGCCGCACAGCGCACATCACCATCCCTTGGTAAGAATGTTGCTGTGTCCTTGGGCCTCAGTGCAGTGCAGTGCAGGAGGCACCGGCAGCAGCGAACACAGCACAGAAACGAGCAGAGAGGAGAGTGCGTCAGGAGCAGCAGCGGAAACAGACTTGAATGAAACAAAATATCGATTCTTTGACTTGCCGCACGGCGACGTACCGTACTGCCGTGGCGCCCTCGCACAGTACCCCTTTGAGAAGCACCACCCCTTGGCGAGAATGTTGCTGCGTCCTTGGGGCTCGGTGCAGGAGGCACACACCGGCACCACAGCAGCGAACACAGCACAGAGACGAACACAGAAGAGAGTGCGTCAGGAGCAGCAGCGAAAACTGACTCAAAAGAAACAGAAACTGATTCTAAGACTTGCCGCATGGCGACCTAGACTCTTCTGCCCCCCAATAGACCAGCCCAGTGCCTTACCGTACTGCCATGGCGAGAGCCATGTGGTTAGGATGCTACCTCGCACAGCAGCACCATCCCTTGGCATGACTGCTGCTGTGCCCTTGGGCCTCAGTGCAGGAGGCACCGGCACCACAGCAGCGAACACAGCACAGAACCGAGCGCAGAGGAGAGAAACGAGCATCAGAAGCAGCAGCGGAAACATACTTTAAAGGAACAGAAGTCGACTTTAAGACTTGCCGCACGGCGACCTACTAGACTCTTCTGCCCCCCCAATAGAGCCATCCAGCCAACTGACCATACTGCCGTGGCGAGCCATGTGGTGAGCATCCTCACTCGCACAGCACCTCCTCTCCGAGAAGCACCACCTCACCATCTCGTGGCATGACAGCTGCTGTGCCCTTGGGGCCTCAGTGCAGGAGGCACCGGCACGGCACCACAGCAGAGAACACAGCACAGACACGAGCACAGAGGAGAGTGCGTTAGAAACAGCAAAGGAAGCGGACTAAGGGACAGAATTCAGTTCTAAGACTTGCCGCGCGGCGACCTAAACTCTTCTGCCCCCCCAGAAGATTCGCCCAACGACTTACCTTTACTGCCATGGTGAGAAATGGGGTGAGGATGCTCACTCGCACAGCACCTTCTCTGCAAGAATGCATCACCCCTTGACAAGAATGTCGCTGTGTCCTTGGGCCACAGTGCAGGAGGCACACACCGACACCACAGAAGCGGACACAGTACAAAAACGACCAGAGAGGAGAGTGTGTGAGAAGCAGCAGAGGAAACGTACTCAAAAGAAACAGAAATCAGTTCTAAGACTTGCCGCGTGGCGACCTAGACTTTTCTGCCCCCCCAGTAGACCCGCCCAACGACTTACATTTACTGCCATGCTCCGAGGAAAGGGGTGAGGATCCCCACTCGCACAGCACCTCCTCACCATCCCTTGGCAAGAATGCTGCTGTGTCCTTGGGTTTCAGTGCAGGAGGCACCCGCACCACAGCAATGAACACAGCGCAGGCACGAGCACAGGGGAGAGTGCGTTAGAAAAAAAAAAAAAAAAAAAACGGACATATAACTAATGAAATTCGATTCTAAGACTTGCCTCACGACGACTCAGACTCTTCTGTCCAAAGACTTACCTTACTGCCATGGTGAGCCATGCTCTGAGCAATTTGGTGAAGATATGGTGAGCCATGCGGTGAGGATGTTCTCTCGCATCACATCTTTGTGAGAAGCACCTCCCCTTGGCATGCTGCTGTTGCACCACCCCCTGGGTCTCAGAGCAGCAGGCACCGGCACCACAACAGTGAACACAGCACAGAAACGAGCACAGAGGAGAGTGCGTGAGAAGCAGCAGAGAAAAAAGACTCAAAAGAAACAATAACTGGTTCTAAGACTTGCCGCACGGCGACCCAGACAGCTCTTTTTATTCCCCCGACTGATGTGGTCAACAGCTTACCGTACTGTACAGTAACACAGCTCCTCCCCCCCCTCTCCCCCCTCCCATCTTCTCCCTGGAAAAGCTGCTGCTGCTGCTGCTGCTGCTGCTCGGAAGTCATTCGCCTGACCCTTATTAGCTCCTCTCCTGGCCCATCCCACACACACACACTCGAACCAGAGCAGCCAGCACAGCAGAAAAACAAGCACGCGCGTCAGAAGCAAGAAAGAAAAAAGACACGAAAGAAATAGAAGCTGCTTCTAAGACACTTGCCGCACGGCGACCTAGACACTTCTGCCACCCTAACAAACCCACCCAACCACTTACCACACAGCCATGGTGAGCGAAATTCTCTTTCAGGTCAGGGGCGGATCCCTACTCGCACAGCACCTCCCTAGGACGCACCGCCCATGGTCAATGCCTCTCAAATACGGAGGCATCCTTCGGGACCGAAACCACAGCTGAAAACACAGCACAGAAACGAGCACTGTGAGGAGAGTGCATCAGGAGCAGCAGCGGAAACTGACTTGAACGATACAGAAATCGATTCTAAGACTTGCCGCATGGCGACCTAGACTGCTCCCCCCCAATTCGACTCGGCAAATTCACTCACCGTGCTGCCATTGCCATGGTGAGGCAGAGTCCGAGACGCATCAGCAGTCGATTGGTTACTGGCATAGCCCCTCTCCGCCACGCCTTGGCTGGACTGTTGACGCGTCCTTGGGCCTCTCAGTCACGAAACCCCCTCAACAACAGCAGCGAACACAAGACAGGAACAAGCACACAAGAGAGAGTATCAGAAGCATGAGAGGAAACAGACTTGAAGAAAGCAAAATCTGATTCTAAGACTTGCCGCACGGCGACCTAGACAGCTTTGCTCCCCCCGGATAGACTCGACCAATTCACTCACCGTGCTGCCACGGCGAGGCAGACTCCGAGACGCCTCTCCGCCACGCCTTGGCCGGACTGTTGACGCGTCCTTGGGCCTCTCAGTCAAGGAGTCCCCTCAACAACACCAGCAAACACAGCACAGGAACAAGCACACAAGAGAGTGTATCAGAAGCATGAGAGGAAACGGATTTACAGAAACCAGGAACTGATTCTAAGACTTGCCGCACGGCGACCTAGACTGCGCCCGCCCGATCGACTTGGCCAATTCACTCACCCTGCTGCCATGGTGAGGCAGATTCCGGAACGCCTCAGCAATGGGATGGTTACTGGAAGAGCCCCTCTCCGCCACGCCACGCGACGCGACGCACCACCACGCCTTGTCAGGACTGTTGACGCCTCCGTGGGCCTCTCAGTCAAGAACCACAACAGCGAACACAGCACAGGAACAAGCACAGAAGAGAGTGTATCAGAATCAGGATAGGAACCGGACTCAAAGAAACCAAAATCTGATTTAAGACTTGCCGCACGGCGACCTAGACAGCTAAGCTCCCCCCCCGGATAGACTTGCCCAATTCACTCACCGCGCTGCCATAGTGAGGCAGGTTCCGAAACGCCTCAGCAGTCGATTGGTTGCTGGCAGAGCCCCTCCCTGGGGTATATGCGATGCACCGCCACGCCTTGGCCGGACTGTCGACGCGTCCGCGGGCCTCTCAGTCAAGAAGGGCCCCTAACCACAGCAGCGAACACAGCACAGGAACAAGCACACAAGAGAGTGTATCAGAATCAGGAGAAGAAACGGACTCGAAGGAAGCAAAATTTGATTCTAAGACTTGCCGCGTGGCGACCTAGACTGTTTCTACGTCCCCCCACTTGCCCTCCGTACGTACGCACCTTTACATGGCGCGATTATGACTGTCTCTCGCGCTGCTGATTCGGCCGCTCTTGCTCCTGCTGCTCCTGCTGCTCCTTCTGGCGCTGCGACTGCACCTCCCGTGCTCCATCCCTCCTCCCTCCCTCCACACACACAGAGCGCACACGACACAGCAGGGGAGTGCGGAGATGCGTCAGAGCAGCACGGAAACAAGGAAGACGGGTAACAGAAATGAACGACGACGCAAGACACCTACGCGACGACTCCTACGTCCTACGCGACCCCCCCACTTGTCCTGCGCGCACACGCACCGTCGCATGTCGCTCTGCTATCGTCAGCGTGCTTCAAATCCGCGTGCAGTCAAACACAATTGCACTGTTGCTGCCGATTACCACCCAGCTTCAACCCGCAGTTGACACCCGTTGCTGCTGCTGGGCTAAATCCGCGTCGCCGCTCTCTCACACGCTGCTGCTCTCAGGTCGATCGTTCACCCCTCTGCTGCCACTGTCTAGCCACCTTCGATTCCTTGCACGCGTTGCTCTGCGTTCCACCATGCTGAATCCTTCGCCGTCATTTCTCGAAGCAAACCCCGCGTACGGCAACGAAAGTCGGCGAAATCAGTGAAACGTAGTGAACAGAAACGTACGGGAGCGGCTGTGCTGAAGACAGCCACACTCCGCGAACACCAGAAGCTGTGCGAAAGGAAAAGACACTCCGCGAACGGCAGCAGCTGTGCGAAAGGCATCGATACTCCGCGAACGGCAGCAGCTGTGCGAAAGGAAGCGACACTCCGCGAACGGCAGCAGCTGTGCTGAAGGCAGCCACACTCTGCGAACGGCGGCAGCTGTGCGAAAGGAAGCGACACTCCGCGAACGGCAGCAGCTGTGCGAAAGGCAGCGACACTCCGCGAGCGGCAGCAGCTGTGCGAAAAGCAGCGACACTTCCCGAGCGGCAGCAGCTGTGCAAAAGGCAGCGATACTCCGCGAGCGGCAACAGCTGTGCGAAAAACAGCGACACTCCGCGAGCGGCAGCAGCTGTGTGAAAGGCAGCGACACTCCGCGAACGGCACTAGCTGTGCGAAAGGTAGCGATACTCGGCGAACGGCAGTAGCTGTGCGTAAGTCAGCGATATTCAGCGAACGGCAGTTGCTGTGCAAAATGCAGTGACACTCCGCGAACGGCAGCAGCTGTGCGTAAGGCAGCGACACTCCGCGACGGCAGCAGCAGCCGTGTGAAAGGCAGCTACACTCCGCGAACGGCAGTAGCTCTGCGAAAGCCAGTGATACTCGGCGAACGGCAGTAGCTGTGCGAAAGGCAGCGATACTTGGTGAACGGCACCGATAGTCGGCAAGAGTCAGCAGAATCCGGCAAATGACAGAGAAACTTGGCGCACGCCGGGAGCAAACTTGGCGAAAGGCAGAGAAACACCGCGAACGGCGGCAACGAACTCGGCTAACTTCAGCGACACTCGGCGGAGGGCAGTCAAACTCGGCAAACGACAGCGAAAGCCGGAGACAGGCAAAATTGGAGAAATGGGATGGCTGGATGAAAGGTCGCGTGTAAGCACGGCGTGTATAGAGACGGTATTGCGCGTCGCATTAGCACGGCCTCGAAGAAAAGGTCCAGCAAAGTGACCAGCTAAGCCACTTTGTTCATGTCGTTATTCCGTCAGGTGATATAAGGCCACATGTTGAAAGTTGCAAATTCGTCGTACGTCACTGAAATGCTTTCTGGAAGTCGCTACTCCAATCTGCAACTTAGAACCGGTTATCAAGGTGGCTAATCCATCCTGCGCCTTTGGACCGCGTACTAAGGTCGATAACCTATCATGCATCGCTAATCCCTCCTGCATTTTAGAGCCACGTAGTACGATTGCTATCTTTTCCTCCGCTAGAACGCATTCTGCAACCGTATCATGGATCAAGATCGAACCGGAACAGACGAGTCGCGACGCAAGCTAATATCGAGACGAGACTGTTTTATCGAAAAATTAGCGTACTAACGTCGCTCCAGGCGGATTAATCTCTAACAGCTAAAGAGTCCTAACTATTGAAAGCTGGGCCGACAATGGGAACCTGTGAGTTTGGAAAGAGGAGGAAGAGTTGTTTCAGCTGGGAAGGGAGTTGTGTTTGAAACAGACAAGGTATTCGGGGAGGAGGACTTGGTGTCAGAATCGGCGGCTCTGACAAACTTGGATGAGAATTGGCGGCGGAATCGAGGCGCGAAGTGTTGGAACCTTTATAGCCCAGAATTATTACAATGAATGAGAACAGTCGTTCTAAAAACACATGATAATAATAGAGTCTACTCACACATGCATGTGTGATTGTTGTCTACCTATGTAACTGTCAATAAAATTCAGCTGTAAATGCAAATGTAATAACTCACGTTTTTTTTTTATTCAGAGAAACGATAAACATATATTTGACTGCTCTCAAGTACTTACAAGACATGAGAGTCATGACTGCTCTGGCTCCGAGCAAAATTGACATTGGTTCACCAGCACAAGCACACCATTTCTCAGAGTATGTAAAATGTTGTTAAAGAATTTATTAGCAAAATAGTAACATGGCAGAGTGAGATTCATCATGTGGATTGCAGGAACTAGTGAGCATTCTACAATGCACCATGCCTGGCACACCACATAGCCAGGCCACCATAAGACGATCCCTAGGCCACATGATAAAACACACCACTGCCGTAACACAACTAAGCAAACAGAACTAATAATTAAAGCTAGCGCAAGATTTGTCTTGATGAGTTGCTTCAGACCGGACAGACGAAAAGGAGCGGCGAAAATATACGAATTTGCGCTTGCAGACGACGCGCTCTAATTGGCCCACACGCCGAAGAGATCCGCATCACCTGTAGCAGCAATCTGCGTAGCGTCGAACGCATCGAAGTCGTCAAGCATGTCGCGGAAGATGTTATCCGTGTTCTCGATCGGCTCCAGGTCCTGCAGCAGCGCGTTCAGGCACTCCGCGTCCTCCTCGCTGCTCGTCTCGCTCTCCGTCGCCTCCAGCTTGATTCCGCCCATCGCAGGCGACGGTTCCAGCTCCGGAATAAATTCTGGCGATGCAGGTGCAGCGGGGGAAACGGGGGACAACGGGGAAGCGGGAGACGGGAGCGGGAGCGACAGGCCGGCGGTGTGGATGGCCTGGCCTTGCAGGGATTTCTCGAGCGCATCGGCGATTTCTGACGTGTCGAACATCTTCGCGGCCTCGCGGCTCGCCTTCAGCAGAGTCTCGGCGGTAGCAGGCGGCAGCGGAACCAGCTGGAAGCTGCCGGGGAAGTTCAGCGACGCCTTGGACCCGCGGAGCAGGCGCGCGGCGACGTCGTAAGCGCGGGCGGCGTCCTCAGGGGAATCGAATGAGCCGAGCCAAATGCGCGTACGCTTGCGGGGCTCGCGGATTTCCGACACCCACTTTCCCCACTTGCGCTGGCGCACGCCCTTGTAACGCGGACCCTGGTCGCGCGCCGCGTTGCACACGACAACTTCAGAGTCGGAATCCTTGTCTTCCTCCTCCGACGACCACGTGGCAGCGTCCAGAGAAGTCGGCTCCTGCTTGGCGCGCTTTCCGCGGACAGACTTGGCGGAGTCGCCACCACGGGAGCGCTTACCCGCGAAGACCTTCTCGAGAATAGGCAGCGAAGGATGGGAGCCCTCGGAAGATGCGGGGGATGGCGCGAAGGATGTTGCCGCGGATGGTGCCGGAGAGGGTGCGTCGTGCGCGATGAGCGGATGCGGCGCGGGGAGCGGGGCTGAAACGGGAGCATGGGAGAGAGCGTTGAGAGCGGGGACGGCGAAGGAGAGAGAGGACTGAAGCTGGTGGAGGGTGTCGACTTGCTGGCGCTGCTGCTGCTGCTGCTGCTGCTGCTGCTGCTGCTGCATGGCGCGCTGGTTCTGGCTGACGGCGTCGACGAGGCGCACGAGCCCCATTATCGCATTCTGCGCCGCAAGAAGCGCATTGCCGAGTGCTGCCTCGCCGTCAACAGGGGGGTCGACGAGGGGAGAGACGGGGGAGAGAGAGAACGACTGCTGCTGCTGATACTGCTGTTGATACTGGAACTCCATTTTTCAGAAGGTGAAGGAATCGAGAAGCAGGGACGAGATAGTGAAGTAGAACCGAGGAGCTTGAGAGAAAGAGTTGAGGAGAGCTGCTGAGTCGCAGAGAGTGGAAGAGGGAGCTGCGTCAGGGGTTTCTGAAAGGAGGCTGGAAAGATAAATTCCAAGAAGGCTTAAGAGAGAGTTTTTAGAAGAGAGGTACAGGAAGTCTGGAAGCACAGAGAAGGGGGTGTAAGAGGGTCGTTAGGGAAGTAAGGAGGCAAGTCGTAGCCTACTTACTCCGCTAAAAGGACATCTCCTGCCTGGCGGCGGAGAGATGTCAGTTTAGCAGAGAAGAGGAACGAAACGCGAACTGGACTAAGGGAACAAAACCGCAGAGCGGCGCAGGATCGCACTATCAGAACGCTTTTAGAGAGCAGTTGAAAGCTTTGGTAAGTGAGCACTGAAAACTGAAATGAGAAGTGATGCTGATATAATTGTTCAGCAAGAGGAGGGGCCGATGGGGGCGAGGAACAATCGTTTGCTGGAGGAGGAAGTGGTTGGAGGGGATGGGCGGAACGGGAGAGGAGATGCGCGCAACTTGAGGGGATGTGCGGATCGGCATTCGCGACAGGACTCGGGAGGGAGCAACCCCCCGGAATGAAAGAGATGGCGGGAAAGTGGAAGGGTGGATGGATGCAGAGGGCGGGGCGGGAGGGAGGGGAGGGAGGTGAACGGGGGAAGTGATTGGGGGAAGAGAAGCTACGAGGAAGGGAAGCTCGACTGAAACCCCGATGCTTTTGGCACCAAGAATTTCGCCGATGATTGCGGACAGGGGGACCACTTGCTGAGGTTCTGCGCGCCCAGCTTTTCCAGAAGGCTCAACAAGATGCGGTCGATGTTGAACTGGCATCACGGGGGAAGACGCCCGTGCAGATTCTGTAGAAACAGGAGAGGGGGGGAACGTGCGCTGCGCTTGGGACCACGAGATTGCGCCCCCCGCCATCTCCGGTTTAGAATGGCGCTCCGCGAAGGAAATTCAGCAGCGCGGCTGAAGCGGGTCATTCTGACGTGAGCCCGCGACGCGAGTCTGCAATGTGGGCTGCTTGGAGCAAAGCGTCACGTGAGTGATGCAAGCAGGCCACCTCACCAACAAAACAAACCAGAATCGAGGGATTGGTGCAGGAAAACTGCACGTCAGCAGTACATGTCGACACTTAAAGCCGTGGCCCAACTATCAACTTCAACTTCAAAGTATTATAGCTTGGAAGAGGTTGACCCAGGCAGTTCAGAGCCGAGAAGTTTGTCCTCTACTGGTTTTCCAGTTTTTTCGTCCAATAGAATTCAAGTTACTCACATGCCATTTTTGTCCCCCTACTGTTCCTAAGAAGTTGCACCCCGCCTTTAACGGAACACAGGGTGTGAAGGCAAGCCTGCGGGCATCCATAACTAACAAGTCAGAGAACTTCTAAATAACGGACAAACTGTAACTGAGGGGAACATTCCCACAGATCCCCAAGCCCACTGGCCCAGATGAATCCAAAAGGCGCAAGTTGGATTTACAATCTATCCAGCTGTGTGAGTGACGGCGGGCAGGTAGAAAAAATACTTCGATTGAGAGACACCCGCTTGATGCACATAGCTTCAAGCACAATATGATGAAATTGTTAAGCCAATGAAACGCTTATAACATTAGATGCACACATGGCAGCAGCCAATCAGCTTGAATCAAGGAATAAAATGCATGACATTGTTTGAGAGCATTGCTTCGTATCATTTCGAATCACTGAATATGGAGTCTACAACTGTAACAGCCGCCGCCCTAGCTGCAATATCACCTGACACTGCGTGCTCCTCAAAGTACCTCATCAGCCCTTGAAGCTTGCCTCCCGACCTAAATCTGGACAAGGGAGCCAAAACAAACAGTGTGGGCGATGTTCGCATGCAGACGTAGTCAGGAAAATACCGTAAGGATACACTAAAACATATTCAAATCAACACATAAATAAGGGAAAATCCACGACTCACTTGTACAGTATTTCCGCCTCCACGGTGCTCCACAGCAGTCCCCTGTTCTGAGCTTCCCTCAGCTGCTTCAGCTCGCCGGACGAGCGCATGGCTTCCTGGAACTTTCCTATCTTCTTCCACAAGTCCTCTATGCCCAGCCCTGTGCGCGTGCTGCACGCCACTACCTGCAGGGCCAAGGTGATCGCCATGTATGGGAGTGAGAGGGAGTAGAGGAGCAAGCTCAAGCATGTAACATAGTGGGGTGAAAAGAGGTCAAGAGGGGGGTAGAGGAGCAAGCCGAAGCATGGGAGAACAGCATGCATGGGAGGCGCATGCATGGGTGGTGCATGCATGGGTGGTGCATGCATGGGTGGTGCATGCATGGGTGGTGCATGGATGGGTGGTGCATGCATGGGTGGGTGGTGCATGCATGGGTGGGTGGTGCATGCATGGGTGGGTGGTGCATGCATGGGTGGGTGGTGCATGCATGCAAGAGCTGAGACATCCCAAAACTGCATCTCACAGGAGTCATCCATAAGTCATAGCGTGGGTGCACGAAGTGCAGTGCGTTGCTGTACTCGAGAGAAGTGAGACGGCACCGACTTGGTCCGTCTAAGGACTTGGTCTCTCCAACCAAGGACTGGGTCTCACCGGGGTCATCCAGAAGTCATAGCGCGGGTGCACGAAGTGCAGTGCGCTGCTGTACTCGCCCACCGCTGCCAGCGCTGCCCCCTCCATGGCACCGTCCGCCTTGTTCACCACCACTAGGTCCGCTATCTCCACCACTCCTGCTCACATGATTAGGACGGGAACAGAGAGGATGGGAGGGGCGGGCACAGTTGTGTGTGCCAGCACTGCCAGCACTGCCAGCGCCGCCCCCTCCATGGCACCGTCCGCCTTGTTCACCACCACCAGGTCCGCTATCTCCACCACTCGAGCACATGAGTAGGAGGAGCGAGTACCAGGAGAGAAGGGAACGGGGAAGATGGGAGGGGCGGGCACAGTTGATGCGCAGTTGTGTGTGCCAGTGCTGCCAGTGCTGTCCCCTCCATGGCACCGTCCGCCTTGTTCACCACCACCAGGTCTGCTATCTCCACCACTCCTGCCCGAGGGCAATGAGGAGAGGAGAGGAAGGGAGGAAGGGGGAGAGAGTGCAAAGGCACAGCTGATGGCAGTTGTTGGGAGAGGGTCTGGAACGAGCCCCTCCATGGCGCCGTTTGCCTTGTTCACCACCCCCTCCACCACTACTGCACAGTGAAAGGGAATGAATGAACTGCACTGCACCGCGCTGCACCGCACTGCACAGCACTTTCCCCACCTTTTTCTATGCCCTGTTCCTCGTCGCCCCCAGTGGGTGGCACCAGCAGCACCATGTCAACGACATGCGCCTCCGCTCCATCCCCACGCCCCCCCCCTCTCACTGCACTGCACCGCACCGCACTGTACTACACACCTTTCTTGATGCCCTGCAGCTCGTCGCCCCCAGCGGGCGGCAGCAGCAGCAGCACCATGTCTGTTATCTGCGCCACTGCCACGTCCGCCTGCCCGCCCCCCACCGTCTCCACCAGTAGCACGTCACACCCACTCGCCTGCGCACATATTGCGGGGGGACGGGAAAAAGGGGGAGGAGAGGGGTGTGTGGGTGCAGAGTGCAAGGAGGCACAGCAGAGCGCAACAGCCTGCCTGCCCCCCACCGTCTCCACCAGCAGCACCCACTCGCCTGCACATGAGAAGAGTGGAGGAGTGTGTAGAAGGGGGGGGCGTGGGTGCATGGATGGAGGGGCACGGCAGAGCGGTATCAGCAGCACTCTGGTCTGGAGTGTTGCTGATCAGCAGCACCACACCACACCACATTGGATCCCCCCACACCATCTCCACACCACGACATCGCACCCACGAGCCTGGACATAGGGAGGAGGGGAAGAGCTCAGCTCACAACACACACACTCTCCACCTCGCACCCACTGCCTGAATACCCACCCCGTTTTCGCTCCCTCTCCCCCACTCCCGCCCCCTCCCTTTTCCACTCAACCTCCCCCTTCCCCTTCCCCTCTCCCCCCCCCTCCCGCTTCCCATCCCCCCACCTCGCAGAGCAGGGCGGCGTCAGCAGTGTTGCGCGCGAGCCCCCCCACCTCCCCGCGGGAGGGCGTGGGGCGGATGAACGCGGAGGGGTGCGCGGAGAGGCGCTCCATGCGCGTCTTGTCGCCCAGGATGGACCCCCCGCTGCTGTGCGATGACGGGTCGATCGCCAACACTGCTACTCGCCTGTCGTCCTCAACCGCGTGCATGCCCAGGCCTGGGGAATTGGGGGTAGGGAAGAGGGGGAGTTGGGAGGGGAGGGGAGTGGAGAGAGAGAGGCGCTCCATGCGGGTCTTGTCGCCCAGAATGGACCCCCCGCTGCTGTGGGATGACGGGTCGATGGCTAGCACGGCCACTCGCCTGTCGTCCTCAACCGCGTGCATGCCCAGGCCTGGGGGAAGGCGAGGGGAAGGGAGAGGGGGAGTGATCATCCCCTGCTGGTGCGCGGAGAGGCGCTCCATGCGCGTCCTGTCGCCCAGGATGGAGCCTCCGCTTCTGTGTGACGATGGGTCGATGGCCAATACCGCCACGTGGCTGCTGTCCTCAACCGCGTGCATGGCCCAGGCCTGGGAGAATCGGGGATATGGGGAGACGGCAGAGGGGAGAGAGGATTCTCGCTCAGCGTGGAGAGGTCTAAACAACGCCTTCTCTCCACGCTGGATGACTTTTGAGTCGACTGGAGAGTCTACTCCTCTCCTCCTATACCTCTCCCCTCTCTCTCTGCCGCGTCCGATCCTATACCCCTCATCCCCCAAGGACGCACGTTCGATCAGCGACGATTTCCCCGCGCCGGGCGGCCCCGTGATTCCGATCTTGAAGATTCCATCCCTAGCCTTCCCCGCGCCGTGCGCGATCTCCGCCTGCGCCTTCCGCGCGCGCACCGCCTCCAGCACGTGCTGCAGCAGCGCCGCGGCCTGCGGGCGGTGCGACTCGCGGACCGACTCGCAGAGCGTGATCGTGCGGCTCAGCGCGTGCAGATTGCCGTCCAGCACGTCCTGTGCGAGCCGCGCGAATCGCGGCTCAAGCGGCGGGAGATGGAGCTTCTGATTGGTGGCGAAGGAGCGGGAAAACGCAGGGGGCGGAGCGGGAGATGCGGGGGATGCGGGAGAGTGGGCGTTGGTGAGAGCGGAGTGAATAGCGGCGGGATTGGCGCAGGGTGTGGACCGCCCTCCGAGTCTGGCGGCGCGGAGGGCGCTGGATGAGCATCGAGAAGCGGCGGTACGCCACATGGCTGCGCGCAGGACACGCGAGATTTGTCGTCGCTGCACCTCTCGCGTGTGTATCGGAGCTCAGAGCAACTAGTGAGAAATTTATGGCTGATGGGTGTGCTTTATTTACAAAGTTCAGCCGAATTCGTTTTGGTCAACGTGTGGATGGGAGAGATCGAGGCCAAGTGTAACGAATTTCGAGGTACGAGATGAATCGATGCTTATTGGTTGCAGGTGCGTGTCCCTCGGTTGGATCTTTCCAGCTAGATGGCTGAAAGAGCTGCCACGTGCACTGCCGCTTCCTCGATACCTGGACACCAAGATCTCTCCGTTATTGAGTTCAAAATGCTGTTCTCTGTGGGGAGAAATTTGGATGGCATGACACTTATCAACTGCTTTCGAAATATACAAAAACAAAGCGTTATCAAGTTTGGCCACGGAGAACACTGCAGCTAATTCCGGCAGCTTTCGCAGCTCTTTGTGCTACCCTCTCATAGTCCCGGCGCCTGAGGTCCTCCTTTTGAAATATGGCTTCGGACAGAACAACAGCAACGGCCCCGGCTTCCAGATACCCTTCGATCATGTCTGCAAGTGAACATGCACATGATCAGACAAGGAAGAAATTGCATGTATTTTCTTTGGGAGACAATGTGGACGTATCCACAACTTGAAGTAACAGTTGAGCAATAGCATTAGCATCGACTCACCCATCTGAATGCCATGTGCCGGCACTATCCCGATGGATGGCACTGCTCGGTGCATGGCCCTCACCAGTGCCTGCCCTCCTGCATAGGGCGCTGGGAAGAGCTGATGGGGGAGCAAGGATGGGTGAGGAAGAGAGAGAGGATGGGTGACGAGAGGGAGGATGGTCAGGAGAGAGGATGGGTGAGGAGAGGGAGGAGAGGGTGGGGTGCAATAGCAGTGGGAATGAGAGGTGTCAAAGGATAGTGGCGCTGCTACAGTGGACATGTCACCACTAGATGCATGCTATGCAATTGACTGGAAATTGATGGATGTCACATTGCTGCATGGCATGTGCATGTGCATGGCATGGCACATGGCACAGCATGCGCCCACCTTGACCAGGGGAGCTCCAAGGCGAGAGGCTGAGAGGATCTGAAGGCAGCAGCAGGGCAGCAGAGCACGTGGGAGAGGGGAGAGGCGAGGAGGAGAGCACAGTGAAAGTGTGAGTGGGACTGGGAAAGGACAGCATGAGCAAAGGCAGGCATAGTGCAATATACATACGCAGTGGGGTGAGCGCATGTGCCTCAGTGGGCGGCATACCTCAGTGGGAGTCATGGCACCAGGAATGAAGACCATTGGGCCTGCTGCGTGTGATGCCACTAGATCCTGCCAGGCATGATGTGGAGTGAGGGACATGCGCAATGCAGCATGAGATGAACACATGGGATGAGACATGTGAACACAACGGACAGAAATCCATGGGGCAATAAGTGACGCACATACCACATCAGTGGCACTTGCACATGGCACCATAAGACAGATATACTGCATGGCGTCATGCACTATGCACGTGCCATGTGCACGTACCGCATCAGTGGCAGGGCTCATGAGGAAGCGAGCACCAGCATGTTGAGCTGCCATGGCGTCATGCAGGGAGAGCACCGTGCCTGCCTGCAGTCATTAGGGGGACATGGTGGGTGGCGTGACATTGACTGACAGTGGGTTGAGAGTTATGGGGGTGGGGGCATGCAGCGTGGTGGGTGGGAGTCAGAGGGCGAACGCAGGGAAGGCAGTGGTGGTGGTGAGGAGAGGCGGACTATGCTGTGCTGTGTGCATTACACTCACTCACTCAAATCACTCCTTCACTCTCACTCACTCACTCATTCACTCACCCACTCACTCACTCACTCACCCCTATGGTGGCATGTGGGAACTCTATGACCAGTGATGCGATAACCTGCAGGGAGGGGGAAGGTGTGGGGCGGGTGTGCGAGGGGTGTGGAAAAGGGAGATGATGAAGTTGATAGATGCAGGCAGGGAGAAGAAGACGTGTTTGTGAATGCGAAAAGGATGTGAGATGATGATGCCATTGCGCCCCTACCACACACACCACACCACACTGCCCCACGCCGCAGTACAATGCACTGCATCGCACCACACCACACCGCACAGCACAGCAGGAACGCACCTGGAAGGCGTCAGGGGTGGTGCACGTGACCTCCAGCTGCCGGGAACGGGAGGGGAGGGGGAGGGGGTGTAAGGAAGGCGGGTGCATGGGGGGCCGGAACGACGATGGGGCATCACGTGAAGGGACCGTGCAGGGAGGTTGGGTCAGGGAAGTGAAGACGGAATGCTGGTGTGGGAAATGACAGATGGCTGGTGCTGGGGCAGGTTCGTTTACAGGGGACACCATGCATAATGTGGGGAGGCGGCGACTCACCACTTGGATCCCGGCCGAGAGCGCAGCACGGGAAGCAGAGAGCGCCACGTCAGCACTGCGTCAGCAACACGCGGGGACGGCATGACAGGGGCAGGAGAGAAGAGAACACACGGGACATGTGGATGGTGTGGTGTGGTGCTAGCGATGGGTGCTTGCACGCCATGGCGCCATGCTTCTTGTGATTCATCTCATCCCCCACCATGTTATGCCATTAACCATCCCTCACTCTACTCCCACACACCTTGTCCCATCCTACCGCTCCGCGCGCTCCGTCCCTCTCTCCCTCCTATCCTGGACCCACTCCCTCCCGTTCGTCGCGACTTGCCTCACCGCACCTGTCAGCGCGCACGCACGCCACGATCCCCGACGCCGCGATTGCCGCCACTGTCTGCTGCCGCCTATCAGCGTCTGACACGTGGCCGGTCGCGCCGTCGCTCCGCACGGCTGCCTCGGTGACGTCAGCAGTTGGTAGCAACTGGATGCCACTGGAGCGGCCGTTTACCACGTGGCACCGGACGGACGCGTGGTGCTGACTGCGTGCTGACGTGGCAACGCACGAAGACGGGCTGGTGGCGCTGGTGCTCTTCGCACCCGCGGAGATCGCGCGCGGCGGGAAGTGGGTACGCGGGGAGACGCATAGCGGTGAGGAAACCCGCGCGATCCGCGCGCAGGAGGCGGAGAATGCCGCGAATTCCATGCGACCGCGCTAGCTACGGAGGGGAGGCGAGGGGACGGTGCAGCGCGGAGAGACCGACGAATGGCGGGAGGAGAGAGGCTTGCAGTGGATTACGGGTGACCGTGCGACAGACTGGCGATGGCGGACACGGCGGCAGACAGGAGTAGCTGCGATGGTACGTTCGTGCGTTGAACAGCGTGCTGGGGATGTGTTTCATTTGAGGCTTGGAGAAAGGTATCCCACGGTCACCGGATACCGAACTTGGCGGCGGGGTGTTCCTTGTGAAACATCATCAATGGTTGGGATGACCGGAGAAAATATGTATAAAACAGGTACGGATACGAGGTATTGTAGGTCGTAAGGCATGATCGTATAAGAAGGATAGCTCTCCATCACCGTACTGAACCACGAAAATGTACAATTTTCGCATTCTTGCACAGTATCGTCGTCGTCACCATTCGCGAATCACCCAGCCAATCACATCGCCTCGCCAGAGCCGCCACCATGTACAGTACTTGCTGCTCCCCCGCGTCCCAGTAATTGTGGCGAGGAGAGGAGATGAGAGCAGCGCAGAGGAGTTGTGTTGATTTGTTGATCCCCCAAGCCCGCCCAAGAGCATTAGAGCATTAGAGCACTAGACCTCACCTGCCTGTTCCGCGCCTCTCCGTGCTTCTCGTCGCTCGCTCCTGTCGCACTGCCTTCGCGCACGGCGATCGCTCAGTGCTCTCGCACTCTGCTGTCGCAAACTGCTGTCGCGAACTGCTGTCGCGAACTGCGCCATGACCCCCGCAATCTCCCCCTCCCTCGCGCTCACGCGCTCCTCTCACCTCCGCGCCGCCATTTTTCTCCGCCCAAATCGCAGCGCATGGCGACCACTCATCCAAAGTAGTCCACTCGCGCCGCTATCCACGGCCCGTGATTCTTGGTCGTGGAAACAACCACTACGTGCGATGGCGACAGCGGGAGATGCGTCAGGCGGGCAAACGTTAGTGAGTGCCGGCCGGAGCGGCGCCACCGGCACCACCGCCGGTCCGGACGTGACGGAAACCGGCAAGTCTGCCGGCCGGGAGCGGACGGTGCGGCTGACGTCACGCGGGATCCTGTGGACGGACGACGAGGTGGAGCGCGTGCTGACGGACGCGCGGAAGCGCATCGGGCCGCGCCACGTGGACATGATGACGTGGCGGCGCGCGATTCACGCGTATCCTGAGCTGGCGTTCGAGGAGGAGCGGACGGCGGAGATGGTGGCGGGATTGCTGGCGGAGTGGGGGTATGACGTGGACAGAAGCCTTGGGAGTACCGGCGTGGTGGGGACGCTTACAGTGGGGGATGGGGGAAGCGCCGAGGGCGGAGAGGCGGAGGAGCTTCCGCCAGCCATTATGCTGAGGTGTGCTATAGCGAGGGTGAAATGTAGTGTAGGCGGTGTGAGGGGTATGGTGTGGGTGGCTGGTGGTAGGATGCTGTGAGTGGGCATGGGATAGGGAACGGAATGCAGTTCACTGCATGCGCGCTCATGTGTACTCATCCTTCCACAATCCACTCCCTTTTTTCCCCACTGCACGCCCTCCCCTTCTGCCCCAATCCGCCTCTTTTTTCCTCTCTCCCCCTGTGAGCACGAAGGGCGGACATGGACGCACTCCCCATGGAGGAGGGCAACGCCTTTGACTTAATCCCCTTCCTCCCGCTCCTCCTCCCCACCTCCTCCCCCAATGCCCTATCCCCCTCCCCCACATCCACTTCTTTTGTGTGTGCGCGCAGGGCGGACATGGATGCGCTCCCCATGGAGGAGGGCAACGCGTTTGAGCACCGCTCGCAGCGCCGCAGCACCATGCACGCATGCGGGCATGACGGTGAGAGAACGGTGCAGTGCGGTGTAGTGCAGTGAGAGAACAGTGCAGCACCATGCACGCATGCGGGCATGACGGTGAGAGAACGGTGCAGTGCGGTGTAGTGCAGTGAGAGAACAGTGCAGCACCATGCACGCATGCGGGCATGACGGTGAGAGAACGGTGCAGTGCGGTGTAGTGCAGTGAGAGAACAGTGCAGCATCATGCACGCATGCGGACATGACTGTGAGAACGGTGCAGTGCGGTGTAGTGCAGTGAGAAAACAGTGCAGCACCATGCACGCATGCGGACATGACTGTGAGAACGGTGCAGTGCGGTGTAGTGCAGTGAGAGAACAGTGCAGCACCATGCACGCATGCGGACATGACTGTGAGAACGGTGCAGTGCGGTGTAGTGCAGTGAGAAAGCAGTGCAGCACCATGCACGCATGCGGATGTCGGTGAGAACCATGGTCAGGTCACCATGAGCCGGTCACCATGAGCCGGTCACCATGAGCCGGTCACGATGATATGAGCCGGTCACGATGATATGAGCCGGTCACTATGATATGAGCCGGTCACTATGATATCAGCCGGTCACTATGAGCTGGTCACTATGATATGAGCCGGTCACTATGAGCCGCTCACTATGAGCCGCTCACTATGGGCCGCTCACTATGGGCCGCTCACTACGGGCCGCTCACTATGGGCCGCTCACTACGGGCCGCTCACTATGCGCCGCTCACACACGATGCGCCGCTCACGATGGGCTGCTCACACACGATGGGCCGCTCACCATGGGCCGCTCACGATGGGCCGCTCACTATGGGCCGCTCACTATGGGCCGCTCACTATGGGCCGCTCACTATGGGCCGCTCACGATGGGCCGCTCACTATGGGCCGCTCACTATGGGCCGCTCACTATGCGCCGCTCACTATGCGCCGCTCACTATGGGCCGCTCACGATGGGCCGCTCACTATGGGCCGCTCACTATGGGCCGCTCACTATGGGCCGCTCACTATGGGCCGCTCACTATGGGCCGCTCACTATGGGCCGCTCACGATGGGCCGCTCACGATGGGCCGCTCACTATGGGCCGCTCACTATGGGCCGCTCACTATGCGCCGCTCACTATGCGCCGCTCACTATGGGCCGCTCACTATGGGCCGCTCACTATGCGCCGCTCACTATGCGCCGCTCACTATGCGCCGCTCACCATGAGCCGCTCACCATGGGCCGCTCACGATGGGCCGCTCACGATGGGCCGCTCACGATGGGCCGCTCACGATGGGCCGCTCACTATGGGCCGCTCACTATGGGCCGCTCACTATGGGCCGCTCACACACGATGGGCCGCTCACCATGGGCCGCTCACGATGGGCCGCTCACTATGGGCTGCTCACTATGGGCCGCTCACTATGCGCCGCTCACTATGCGCCGCTCACTATGGGCCGCTCACTATGGGCCGCTCACTATGGGCCGCTCACGATGGGCCGCTCACGATGGGCCGCTCACGATGGGCCGCTCACTATGGGCCGCTCACTATGGGCCGCTCACTATGCGCCGCTCACTATGCGCCGCTCACTATGGGCCGCTCACTATGGGCCGCTCACTATGCGCCGCTCACTATGCGCCGCTCACTATGCGCCGCTCACCATGAGCCGCTCACCATGGGCCGCTCACGATGGGCCGCTCACGATGGGCCGCTCACGATGGGCCGCTCACGATGGGCCGCTCACTATGGGCCGCTCACTATGGGCCGCTCACTATGGGCCGCTCACACACGATGGGCCGCTCACCATGGGCCGCTCACGATGGGCCGCTCACTATGGGCCGCTCACTATGGGCCGCTCACTATGCGCCGCTCACTATGCGCCGCTCACCATGAGCCGCTCACCATGGGCCGCTCACGATGGGCCGCTCACGATGGGCCGCTCACGATGGGCCGCTCACGATGGGCCGCTCACTATGGGCCGCTCACTATGGGCCGCTCACTATGGGCCGCTCACACACGATGGGCCGCTCACCATGGGCCGCTCACGATGGGCCGCTCACTATGGGCCGCTCACTATGGGCCGCTCACTATGCGCCGCTCACTATGCGCCGCTCACTATGGGCCGCTCACGATGGGCCGCTCACTATGGGCCGCTCACTATGGGCCGCTCACTATGGGCCGCTCACTATGGGCCGCTCACTATGGGCCGCTCACTATGGGCCGCTCACGATGGGCCGCTCACGATGGGCCGCTCACGATGGGCCGCTCACTATGGGCCGCTCACTATGGGCCGCTCACTATGCGCCGCTCACTATGCGCCGCTCACTATGGGCCGCTCACTATGGGCCGCTCACTATGCGCCGCTCACTATGCGCCGCTCACTATGCGCCGCTCACCATGAGCCGCTCACCATGGGCCGCCCACGATGGGCCGCTCACGATGGGCCGCTCACGATGGGCCGCTCACGATGGGCCGCTCACTATGGGCCGCTCACTATGGGCCGCTCAGTATGAGCCGGGCACCGCCGAGGAGGGTACGCCACTGCCAAATCTTGTTCGCTCCTGCTACCCCTCCCCCCTCATTCCCCCAGGCCACACGGCCATGCTGTTGGGAGCAGCAAGGTACTTAGTCGAGCACCGCCCCTTCCATGGTAAAATCCATTATCCACGTGGTGTTGCAACCGGCCGAGGAGGGCACGCCCACACACTACGCTCATTCGCTCGTCCCCTTCTCCCACCTCTCCCACCTCCGCCCCCCACGCCCCAGGCCACACGGCGATGCTTCTAGGAGCAGCGCGCTATCTAGCAGAGCACCGCCCCTTCAGAGGACGAATCCACGTAATGTTCCAACCCGCGGAGGAGGGCACGCCCACACACACGCACCTTCATGCCAACTGACAAACAACTGCTGGTTTGTGCCCGCCCCTACTACCCCCCTCCCTCAGGCCACACGGCCATGCTGCTGGGGGCAGCGAGATATCTAGCCGAGCACCGCCCGTTCCGTGGTAAAATCCACGTGGTGTTTCAGCCGGCGGAGGAGGGCACTCCCACGCACAACCCGTACGGGCGGGAGGGCGGGGGCGCACTCGCCATGCTGGAGGATGGGCTGCTGGAGAAGTACCCCGTGCGGGCCGCCTTCGGCATGCACAACTGGTTAGTGGATGAGCGCTGCTGGTAACGGGATAGTAACGGATTGCACAGCTGTTAACGGCCGAGGAGGAGGGCACGCCCACGCACAACCAGTACGGGTGGGAGGGCGGGGGCGCGCTGGCCATGCTGGAAGATGGGCTGCTCGAGAAATACACTGTTCGAGCTGCATTCGGCATGCACAAGTGGTAATCACAGCTCTTCACGGGATGGGTGCTGGTTATGGGATAGTAATGACATGCACAACTGGTAATCACAGGTGTTAACGGGATGCACAACTGGTAACGGTGGAGGAGGGCACGCCCACTCACAACCCGTACGGGCGCGAGGGCGGGGGGGCGCTCGCCATGCTTGAGGATGGGCTGGCGCGAGGGCGGGGGCGGGGGGGCGAGAAATACCCCGTGCGGGCCGCCTTCGGCATGCACAACTGGTAATGTGGCAGGCTTGCATTGTGGGGATGCGTGCTGCAGCCTGCTGGTAATGGCATGTGTAGCGTGCTGCCGACGGGAGTGGATAGCTTTCACCTCCACGTGCAGGGAACGCCTGGCATAGCACTGATTGTCGACGCACCTAGGATTTTGCACCGAACGCTCACCCATCCCAACCCCTTGCCATCTCTCCCTCACAGGCCAGGGTTACCAGTGGGGCGGTTCGCAATCCATTCAGGGCCGGTGATGGCAGGAGTGGACATATTTCACATCACGGTGGGGGGCACGGGCTGCCATGCCGCCATGCTGCTGGTTGCATTCCCTGAAAACCTCCCCCCCATCTCCACCCCTTGTCACCTCTTCATCTCTCCCCTGCAGGCCAGGGCTACCAGTGGGGCGGTTTGCGGTCCATTCAGGGCCAGTGATGGCGGGGGAGGGTACCTTTCACATCACGGTGGGGGGCATGGGCTGCCATGCCGCCATGCCACACCACACCCTGCGAGAGCACCGACCTCCCCCATCCCAACCCCCCTTGCCATCCCTCGCTCCCAACCATCCAGGCCAGGGTTACCAGTGGGACGATTTGCCGTGCATTCAGGACCGGTGATGGCAGGAGTAGAGAACTTCCACATCACGGTGGGGGGCACGGGTTGCCATGCTGCCATGCCTCATCTAGGAGGGGGCAGTGACCCCGTGCTCGCTGCTGCTAACCTCGTCACCAACCTGCAGGTGCGTTCAAGTGGGCGGGCGTGTGTGTGTGTGCTTATGCGCGTGAGGAGAGGGGACTCTCAAGGTATGTGGCCTAAGAAGTCACCTGGGAGGGGGCAGTGACCCCGTGCTCGCTGCTACTGCCCTCGTCACCAACCTGCAGGTGCGTGTGTTGGGGCTCCTGAGAAGCTCATTGCAGTGCGGAAGACAGTGGGGTCATGCCAGGTGTGCCTGCAGCCCTTTTGAATTTTGAGGCGCCTCAAAAGACAGTGGGGTCATGGCAGGTGTGCCTGCAGCCCTTTCGTGTACCAAGTGCGGTTCTCCCTCCCTTCCCACAATCCCCCACACTCCCTGCCTCTCTTGCGTGCCCTCCCATGCAGGCGTTGGTGAGTCGGGTGGTGGAGCCACACGACAGTGCCGTGGTGAGCGTGACGCAGATACACGCAGGGGACGCCTTCAACGTCATTCCTCCCTCCGTCAGTGCCTCTGCCGCCCCTCCCTCACCCACGCCGCCCATGCTCATGCATGCATACGCCTTTATACCATGCGCGCTTTGCTCCTCTCATGCGGATCACCTGTCGCCGCCATGCATGCGTCCTCACCGCTCTCGTGTCCATTCACTGACTAATGTGGCCTGCTCTGATATGAAAGAAGCCTTCACTGGTGTGAAGGCCGATGTCGCTTATGCCGCTCCCTCTCCCCCCTCCTCTCTCTTCACCCCCTCCTCCTCTGTGCGCTCTCCTCTCTCCCTTCTCTCCCCTCCTCTCCCTTCCTCTCCCTTCCTCTCCCCTCCTCTCCCCTCCTCTCCCCACCTCTCCCCTCCTATTCCCTCCTCTTCCCTCCCCTCCCTTGGCGGCATGGCAGGCGGAGGTGAAGGGCACGCTGAGGACGTACCGGGGGGAGACGAGGGAGGCGATGATGCGAGGGATAGAGCGCATGGCACATGGGGTCACTGCTGCTCATGGTGAGAGGGGGGGGTCACTGCTGTCAACTGTGAGAGGAGGGAAGAGATGGGGGAAGAAAGAGGAGATTCCTCAAACCGTACTGGTTCCTTCTTCCTCCCTCCCTGCCACACCCTGGCTACCTCACCGCAAACCCGCAAACCTGTCCCTGCGCTCCCACTCGCCCTATCTATTTCCTCTCTCCCCTCGTGCGCTCCCCGCTGTTACTTCCCACCCTTTCTCCCCCCCTCCAGGCTGCACGGCCACTGTGCGGTTCTGCGATCACTTCCCCGCCACCGTCACCCAGGGAGGCACGGGAAGCGGCAGGGACAGCGTCAACGCTTCCTCGCCACGCTCACACACTCCCCACCTTTCCTTCGTCCCTCCCCTTCTCTTCCCCCAGGCTGCACGGCCACGGTGCGGTTCTGCGATCACTTCCCCGCCACCGTCAACACGCCCAGGGAGGCACAGGAGGCGGCAGCAGCTGCACGGGCAGTGGTGGGGGCAGCACTGGTGGATCTGGACTCGCGCGCTCCCTCCATGGGTGCTGAGGACTTTGGATACATTCTGGAAAGAGTGCCTGGTGAGAAGAGGGTGGGGGTTCAAGAGATAGAGGGCAGGAGGGACCAGGGACACGGTTGTGATATGCAGCTCTGGTGCACCTGGACTCGCGTGCGCCCTCCATGGGTGCTGAGGACTTTGGATACATTCTGGAGCGAGTGGCGGGTGAGGAGAGTGGGGGGGGGTTGAAAAGGTAGAGGGCAGGAGGGATCAGGGACACGGTTGTGATATGCAGCGCCGGTGGATCTGGACTCGCGCGCTCCCTGGCCGCCCTCCATGGGGGCCGAGGACTTTGGATACATTCTGGAACGCGTTCCAGGTGAGGGGAGGGAGAGGGGAAGGGTTGGGGGGGCAGGTAGCATGGATGGGGCACACAAGTGAGAGGCCAGGCCTGTGCAGTGGTGGGAACAACACTGGTGGATCTGGACTCGCGCGCTCCCTCCATGGGGGCCGAGGACTTTGGATACATTCTGGAGAGAGTGCGGGGTGAGGGAAAAGGAGGGGGGAGAGGTAGGGGGAAAGGTGGGAGCGGTAAGAGAGGGCAGGCCTGTGAGATGCGTCACTGGTGAATCTGGACTCGCGCGCGCCCTCCATGGGCGCTGAGGACTGTGGATACATTGGGGAGACAAATCTGTTCTTGCTCGTACTGACTCTGGTCCTCGGTTACTGGTGTTGGTAACCCCTGTGCAATATGCACTATCCGAATGTGCCCTCTCTTTCTCTCTTTCCTTCCTGTTTCGTGTCAGGCTGTTACCTCTGGATTGGCAACGGCCCCACGGAAGGAGGCTGCATGCTGCACAACCCCTTGTGAGTGGCCACGGGTGGGGCCTTGTGTGTCGTGGGAAATTGAATGTGTGACTCGCTGGGAGCAATGTAGGCTGTTTGCTGGTAAAATCTCCACGCTAAATGAGGGAGTCTGTTATGTTCAGTTTTGCTGTGTTCTTGAACGTGCCTTTTTGGTTCTTGTACCAGCATTGCCGTACCGTATTCAAGCCCTTGCCATTCCTGTGGTGTGGTTCCGCCGTGCAGGTACGATTTCAACGATGACATTCTTGCACTCGGGGCGAGCTACTGGGTACAGCTGGTTGTCAACGCCCTGCCGCCCAGAAAATGATTCTAGAGATAAAATTGGATTATGCCCAGCCGGTGGCAATTCGCTTAGTGTAATAAATAGTGTTATCGTCATTATAGCTGTGAGGAGTACTTGTGTGTTGTGGTTTCTAAGCGCGGGCCACTCAGAAACGCGTACACCGGGACTAATAAACAGTAGCCAGTTTGAACCGATTCGCATTCAGTCTCACCCAACCAAACCGGCTACTCAGTGCGTGCGATAGCGAGTGCGCTAGGTGTATGCTCCAACCAGACACAAACCTACGAGTCGTAACCTCGTCTCCGCGCAGAGAATCTACGTGACGTGACCTTCCCACGTTCGCGGGCCGCCATGGCCTCTCAGTTAGCCTGGCGGGCGGCTGCCACGTCAGCTCGTCGGGGCTTGAGAGAAGGCCAGCGTATCGTGGCTTCGATGACGTCATCGTCCCATGTTCCTGCTGTGAGCGACGTCACTACGGGATCTCCACGTACCTCGAGAGTATCTGGACCGTCCGATCACATCGATCTGTCCCCGTTACAAACCGTCGATCAAACCCTTCAATCCCCACCGCCATCAATCACGCTGACGTCATCCGTTCCGCTCCGCCTTCCCCTTACCAGTTCCATCTCCGCGCGCATCCCTTGCGCTGATGCGATCGCTGGGGGCTTCATTGCGCTCAGGTCGCAGCCACGTGGCGCTGGTGAGGGCAATGATTGGTTACGTAGAACCTCCCTCCCCACCCCGAGCTCCTTCCCCGCTCTCTGCCCCTCCCCGCTCTAAGCCCCTTCCCCCCTCTCAGTTCACTACGCACATTGTCGCACCCGCTCGTTCCCGCCCCTCTCCCCACGTCTCCTTCCCTCTTCGCGCCTCTCATCTCATTCTACCATGCCTTTCCCTCTCCGCCTCCCCCCATCGCCCCCGTTGCAGCGCCATTCCACTCCGCCGCGCTCCCAGTTGCAGCAGCAGCCGCCGCGGAGCAAAATGCGGGCGGCGGTGGCGGGGGAACGGGGGGAGGCGGAGCGGAAGGGGGAGGCGGAGGGGAGGGGCGGAAGGAGGAGGACGGGGAGTGGCGGCAGTGGATCCAGCAGGCGCTATCCAGTGAGTGCTGCTGACACGTGTCAACGTTTCAGAGACTGAACACGTGGCAGCGTCCCACTCACTGAACACGTGGCAGCGTCTCACACACTGAACACGTGGCAGCTTCTCACTCAAGCTCTAGTGGGTAGGCCACCAATGCCACGCACACCTGGCGAAGCGAACTGCTTCGTTGCTGAACCCTTGTCCTGCCACGTGGCACTCACCTTCGCTGTGTGTTGCATGCATGCTGCACGTGTGTGTGTGTGTGTGTGTGTGTGTGTGTGTGTGTGTGTGTGTGTGTGTGTGTGTGTGTGTGTGTGTGTGTGTGTGTGTGTGTGTGTGTGTGTGTGTGTGTGTGCCTGGTCGCTTGGCAGAGGACGGGGAGGGGGGAGGCAAGGAGGGGCGTGAGCAGCAGGCACGCGCAGCAGTAGGTGGGTGGTCCATCGCACAGCACCTCCCCTCTGCCTCTGGTTGTGTCGTCCATTTCGCTTTGCCCATGCGCTCTTCCCCTTGTCGTCACGTCTCTCCGTGGATGAAGAAGTGTTTTGAGACGTCTCAAAGCACCTCCCCTCTGCCTCTGCTTGTTTTCTTCTATTTCGCTTTTCCCATGCGCTCTTCCCCTTGCCGTCACGTCTCTCCACCCTTCCTCACTTCCCTCCCCTTTCCCTCCCTTCCCTCTCTCTCTCTCTCTTATGCCTACATCACGCCCCCCACACCACACCTTTTCCTGCATCTCTCCATGTCTTCCCCCCCGTCCCCGTCCCTCCGTGCAGCCAAGCTAAGCAGTCAGTCAAGCTTTTCCTCCCTGTCTCTTCCCCCCCCCCCCATCCCCGTCCCTCCGTGCAGCCAAGCTGCAATCAGCCGCGGCCCAGTCCCCCTCTTCCTCCCCTCCCCTCCGCCCTCCCCCCCAACGCTTCTCCGCTCGCTCTTCCGCTCCCCCTTCCTTCTCCTCCTCCCCCCCTTCATTCTCTTCCCAAGATTTCGATGAGTTAGAAGCGTTGATAGGGCCCGATGAGGAGGAAGAGGAGGAGGAGAGGAACGGAGGGAGGAGAGGAGGGGAAGAGAGCAGGGGAGGGATGAGAGTGGGAGGGGAGAGAGGGGAGAGAGGGGAGGGAGGGAGAGGGGAGGTGAAGGAGGAAGTGGAAGGGAGTTATGGGAGAGGGGGGCGCGCAGGGGGATACGGTGGGCGGAGTGGAGGGGGGAGGAGCTGGGGAGAGGGGGAGGAGTGGGGGGGACGGGCAGGAGGAGGCGGGGAAGGGGCAAGGGGGAGGTATGGGGGAGGGGGGGATGGGGGAGGGGGTGCCGGAGGGGTGGGCAGCTGGGGGGGCGGGGGTGGGGGGATGGGCGGGGGGATGGGCGGGGGCCCATGGCAGGGGGTGGCGGAGGTGGAGGCGGAGATGGTGCTATCAGACAGGGCGATGAGAGCAGTGAGAGAGGTGGACCTGGAGGAGAGCGAGGAGAAGTTCCAATTCCGCCCTGATCGCACCTACTACCCTGGACAGACCTACTCCGCTGAGGTGAGTGCATGGGGGGAATGGGGGGCGGGGGCATGGTAGGTAGAGGCGGAGATGGTGCTATCAGACAGGGCCATGAGAGCCGTGAGAGAGGTGGACCTGGAGGAGGGCGAGGCAACCTTCCAATTCCGCCCTGACCGCACCTACTACCCTGGACAGACCTACTCCGCTGAGGTGAGAGAGGGGGACAGGGGACCTTAGTATGCAGAGTGCGGGCGGTGAGGGAGGTCCACCGGGAGGAGGGCGAGGCGACCTTCCAGTTCCGCCCCGACCGCACCTACTACCCGGGGCAGACCTACTCCGCTGAGGTACGCAGGGCAGACGTACTGTGCGGGGGTAAGGCCGAGCCCAGGTAGATTCTCGCAGGTTGGACCTGTTGTTGGCTCAAAACGGAGAGCTTCCAGTTTCGGCCTGATCGCACCAACTACTTTGGACAGACGTACTCTGCTGAGGTGAGCGCAGTGCGCCTGTGAGTGTAGAGTGCAGGAAGCATGTGCTGTGTGTTTCTCTCTTGTGGGTGGCAGGAGCTGGACATCTCTCCGCCCCTTCCTGAGGGCATGGGGGGCATGCAGTGCTTATGAGTGTATTAAGCTTGGCATGTGCCACATGGTCTCTCTCTGCTCTCTCTCTCTCTCTCTGCTCTTTCTCGCTTGTGGGTAGCAGGAGCTGGAAATCTCCCAGCCCCTTCCTGAGGGCATGGGGGGCATGCATTGCTTATGAGTGTATTAAGCTTGGCATGTGCCACATGGTCTCTCTCTGCTCTCTCTCTCTCTCTCTGCTCTTTCTCGCTTGTGGGTAGCAGGAGCTGGACATCTCCCAGCCCCTCCGTGAGGGCACGGGGGGCATGCATTGCTTATGAGTGTATTAAGCTTGGCATGTGCCACATGGTCTCTCTCTGCTCTCTCTCTCTCTCTGCTCTTTCTCGCTTGTGGGTAGCAGGAGCTGGACATCTCTCCGCCCCTTCCTGAGGGCATGGGGGGCATGCATTGCTTATGAGTGTATTAAGCTTGGCATGTGCCACATGGTCTCTCTCTGCTCTTTCTCTCTCTCTGCTCTTTCTCGCTTGTGGGTGGCAGGAGCTGGAAATCTCCCAGCCCCTCCGTGAGGGGGTTTTTTAGTCGACTCAAAAACCGAATCTCCCAGCCGCTCCGTGAGGGCACGGGGGGCATGCAGTGCTTATGAGTGTATTAAGCTTGGCATGTGGCTCATGGCCCCTCTTCCCCCCCCTTCTCTCTCTCTCTCTGCTCTCTCTCTCTGCTCTTTCTCTCTCTTCTGGCTGGCAGGAGTTGGACATATCCCAGCCCCTCCCTGACGGCCCGGGGGAAACGAGGCGCAAGCTGCCCACTCCCACCACCAAGGAGGCCCTACGCGCTGCTGACTTCCGCGTGAGATGGGGGGCACAGGGGGAAGTGGCTGAGGGGCACAGGGGGCAGTGGGTGAGGGCCACAGGGGAGGGTGAGGAGGTGGGGGCACAGAGGGGGAGTGAGCGAGCGGGGCTGGGGGAGGGGGAATGGGCAAGGGGGGGGACAGAGAACTGGGAACGAGCATGGATGGGAGGACAAGAAGATGGGACTCTGGGCAGCAGATAGGGGCATGGAGGAATGCGTAAGTCAGCACACAGGGTCAGTAGGGGTGCTACATGTTTCTGCTTGCCCTTCCAAGAGGCTCCCTCCAAATCGTTTCTGCATGTCTTTGCACTCTCTGCGCCTCCCCATCCTCCCCTCAGAACGTGCGCTTCCTCTCACAATTCCTCTCTGATAAGCTGCCTGCAAATCGTTTCTCTTTGCCTTTACATTCTCTGCGCCTCGCTTTCCTCTCTTCAGAACGTGCGCTTCCTCTCACAATTCCTCTCTGAAACCGGCAAGATCAAACCCAGAAACAAGGTGAGCCCACTCTCGCCCTCCTCATGTAAGCTTCCACATTGCACTACTGTCTGTACTGCCTGCTTGTCTCCCTCACTCTCACTCTGTGTAGACTCTTTCCCTCTGTATTAATGCTTCGCCTCGTCAGCTCCCCATCCCATGCCATGACTCCATCCTTCCCTCTCCCCGGACCTTGTGCCGTACCAACCCTGCAGACTCGGTTATCTGCCAAGGCGCAGCGCCGCGTGGCTCGGGAGATCCGAACCGCGCGGGTGTTTGGGCTCATGCCGTTCACGCAGGCAGGCCGGCCACCGTTTAGGTTCGGCAAGGACCCGAACCTGGAGTCAGGGGAGCCGGAGCAGGAGGAGCTTGAGCTGGCAGGTGCTGTGGAGGATGTGAAGGAGCTCAAGGCCATGGCCGGGAGATAGCTGGCTTGCTAGCCTAGTTGGAGGCTAGAGCAGCAAATAGGATTTTACACCAGGCACATTGGCTTATGGTTGTGATCTACTAGTATTGGGTCTTCGTAACACCTTCCATTTTGCCGAGGTCAAATATCAACAGCATGTAGCCTTTTCAACTAAGCTACCTTTCATGCTACCAAGTGCTTCCTACAATTGACTACATACAGAGAACAGAGAGGGGAAGATACATACCGTATGTTATTCTAACCAACTACCCAACTGACTACCCTAGACATCCTTGTGCGCGCCCATCCCAACGACATCAGTATCTGAGGTTGACACCTGAATGTTGCCCGTTGAGCCGCATCTTAGACATCTCATAAGCCGCTGCATCCGCTGCACTGCTCCCATAGCTCCCACCTTCACTTGCCCCCCCTTGCACCACATTCGGCGGCAGGCCACTCAATGGCAGATGCTGCTCCTGCCCTGGCATCGCAGGCACCGCCCTGGAAGGCCATCGCATGCCTGCACTAGCGCCTGCTTCCTGCACGGAGGCAGCAGCGCCTGCTTCAAGTACAGAGGCATCGAAGGTGGCAAAGGTGCCGCCACGCGCTACGTGCTCTCGCACGCGGAGGATGCCCATTTGGAGGTACTCCCTCATTGTCTCACTGATGCTGGCCAGCCGCGCAAACACGTCAATCTGTGATGTGGGAGGGCGCATGAGGGGGGGCCGCATGAGGGGGGAGCGCATGAGACGGGGAGTGCACGCGGAGGATGCCCATTTGGAGGTACTCCCTCATTGTCTCGCTGATGCTGGCCAACCGCGCAAACACGTCAATCTGTGATGTGGGAGGGTGCATGAGGGGGGGTGCATGAGGGGGGAGGGAGTACACAAGGGGGAGTGCACGATGGGGAGCGTATGCGGGGGGAGCCGAGGGAATGAGGGGGACAGGAGTTGATTGGAGCATACAGTAGGGCATCCGCATTGTGGGCATCAGCAAGCACTACATGTAAGGATGTGAGCTTACCCCAGGGTGAGACTGCATGTAGTAGTGAAGCTCAAAAAGGCTGACTGCCCCTTGCTTGCGATCCACTATCTTGCGCACTATGCTCTGGAGCTCGTCCTGATCGCATGCAGGGGAGACAAGGGGGGAGTAGGAGAGAGGGGTTGAGCAGGGGGAAAGGAGGACGGATTGAGTCCAGCAAGCAGACACAGGGCTCAAAGGGTCCAGCACAAAGAGAACTCTCACAGCATGTACAGCCCATGAACTCGCATAACTTAGAACAGTTACAACAGCCCAAAGGCTCACCTGGTCAGGCAGCGAGGATTCATCAGGAACTGCTGCAGCATCAGCAGCATCAGCAGCGGAGGAGCGTTCGAGGACCTGCTGGAGCACGAGGTCGACCTGCTGCAGGATGAAGGGCTGCGGTGTCTCATCTATGGGGATCAGCGACAGATGCCCCTTGATAGCGGGGCCCCTGGCTGCCACCGCCTCTGCCAGGATCTTGCGGAACATGGATAGGGTGCGCTCATCCGTGGTCACTCTGGTGGGGAGATTAAAGGGAGCGGGGCCATGGGGGAAAGGATTCTTGAGCGGATGCCACCGCCTCTGCTAGGATCTTTCGGAACATGGAGAGTGTGCGCTCATCCGTGGTCACTCTGGTGGGAGAGGAGGGGGAGCAGGGCCACGGGGGAGAGGATTCTTGAGCGGAGACTCAAAAAGTGGCTGCCACCGCCTCCGCTAGGATCTTGCGGAACATGGACAGGGTGCGCTCGTCCGTGGTCACTCTGGTGGGAGGATGAGGGGGACAGAGGAAGCCGGGGGCAGAGAGGGGGATATGGCAGCAAGAAGTCCACGAAAACGCCACGCACGAAAAGCAGATTTGCTGAGAGTTTAGGGCCTAATATCCTAAACGTCAAGTGGGTCTCGCACCCATGGGTGCAGGGCCTCCTTGCATCATGGGTGCATCATGCGGCTCCTTGCACGGCTAGCTCACCTCCTGCGGAGCTCGGCGTGGGAGAAGTCGCTAAAGTACTGGTGGATGCCAAACAGCAGGCGGTCAAAGTCCATGTCCGCCACATACCCACTGAAGTTCTGCATGGGGGGGGGGGGGGGAAGTGAGGGCGGCATGGAGTCAGGAGTGTATTCGTAATTCAAAAGGTGAGTGGGAGTGAAATTTCGAGAGGAGAGATGGAGATGATAGGGTTTAGTGAAGGTGAGGAAGACGGTGAGGGCGTCAGTGAAGGAAAACATGCAGGCAGCATGGCACCCAGCTGACCTTGCACATGCGCAGCAGGCACTTGACAACGAGTGCAGCGAGCGGTGTGCCATCGGGGCCCTTGACGTCAGCAGCAGTGGAGCCCTTGATGGTGTAGGTGGGGCGCAGGATGGTCATGAAGGAGAGGAAGAGTGGCGTGGAGGGCGCGGTGTCCAGGATCTTGAGCAGCAGGATGTTCACGGCACGGCACAGGTCGGCGGACGAGTCGTCGGGGTTTCGCTGCTTGACGCGCTCGTGCAGCATGAAGATGGTCATGTCTTCTAACAGCAGCCGTAGATCGTCGTCGGGAATCTGCATGCTCAACGACTTGGTCTCAAACAGCTGTGCGCGGTGGGGAGGGGGGTGGAGGGGTGGAGAGGGGTTAGAGGGCTCGTCCAGTGCTGCTTGACGCGCTCGTGCAGCATGAAGATGGTCATGTCCTCCAGCAGCAGCCGCAGGTCGTCGTCTGGTATCTGCATGCTCAACGACCTGGTCTCAAACAGCTGCATGCAGTGAGGGAAGGAGGGGTAGAATCGTATGGAGAGGGGGTTGAGTGGGCCTTGGGGATGGGCAAGGCAGAACGGCACATCGAATGCAGCTGCAGGAAGGGAGAATAGGAGACGTCAGCAGGTGTCAGACGAGGAAGATTAGGGAATCCAGGAGGAGGGTGCTTGGAGTAAGGAGTAGTTTGGTTTGGAAGAAGGAGTGCTCTGCATCAGCTGCAGGGCTTGTTACCTCAATGCACAGTTGAAGGGCAAGCAGGGTAGGCCAGGGTGGCAGGGTGGCAAGGGCAGGGCGTACCGTGAGCAGCGAGTTGAGGATGTACTTGTAGGTCTTGACCTGTGCGTTGGGAACAGAGCTGTGCTTACCTCAATGCACAGTTGAAAGGGCTAGCAGGGTGGGTGGGGAGTGGCAGGCGGGGGCAGGGGGCAGGGCGTACCGTGAGCAGGGAGTTGAGGATGTACTTGTACGTCTTCACCTGTGCATCCGGAACGGAGCGCACAAAGAACTGCACAAACTGCGTAGTGCAGGTGAGTGGGGCAGAGGGGCATGGGGCAAAAGGGGAAGGCCGATTTTTTTATGAGTAACAAAACCGTTTTCTGATGCTTCAAAAGGTGCACACATAAGCATGTTAAGGAAATTCTCTCAATAACAACTGCTACCAGAGCAACCAAGCACATGCATGACCGCCCTGCCTCCATTGCCATACCTGGAAGCGCAGCATCTTGATGTAGCGCGGCATGTGCTCGCGGAAGACAGCGAGCACGCGGGGGTCCTCCTCCGTGATCCCCCGCCGCATCTCATGGAACAGGTACTTGAGCCCCTCCACCACCCTCTCGGGCGCCGCCTCGCGATCAATGAACAGAATCGCCTCAAAGAACGACTCCGGCGCCGAGTGCCCTGAGTGGGACGAGTGCGCATAGGCGTGGCTGTCTGTGGCGCGGTGGCGGGTCATGGCGGCCATGTGGTTCGGAGCGGTTACCATGGGCTCTGTTGCTCTGTGGGGCATGCCTGGCGGCATGCCTGGAACCATGCCTCCCCCGTTCCCATATGAGGGCTGCTGGTAGTGCATGGGCGCTGCTGCTAGTGGCTGGGCAGCTTCCGCCATGTGCATCCTTGTGGCCCTGAGAGGGAAATAAGAAACCAGGAAAGAAGAAACAACATATACGTTTTCCACACCAGTGCAAAGAAGAGCAGCTAAGGTGGAAGAAACACTCTGGTTACTAAGGCAAGTGTAACAGGTGAGGCGGCCTTACAAGGGCAGGGCTCCGATGGGTACAGGCGCCTCCATGCCTACCGCCCCTCCCCCTGACATGCGCATGCCCCTCTGCTGCCCCGGCGCCCCTTCCCTGCGCTTCTCCATCTCTCGCGCCTGCTCATACGTACGCAATGGCAATGGGGGAAGTAGCAGGAACAGCGGGGGGGATATCAGTTGCACGAGGAGCACGCTCGTATGCAAGTCAAGGAAAATGAAGCAGAAAGCAGAATGCGAATGAAATCGTAGAGCTCAGCCGGAGTAGGGGCAGATGGAGTGGTGGAAGAGAGGAGGCACGGGCCCTGCAGAAGAGGGCACGGAAGGAAGGGAGGAGCGAGGGAAGAGGGAGGAGGAGGTACCTTCCACTTGAGCTTGTCTTCAATGAGGCCCCTCTGCGCATCGGTGAGTTTCCCCAGCAGGCGCCAGATGTCATCTCCCAGCACCACGTACACAGACGCAAGCATGCTCAGCGCTGCCTTGCGCAGCTCCGTGTCCCTCTCCGTGGTCAGCGCCGCCACCGTCACCAGCGGCACCCGCGAGCTGCCCATCGTCTGCACCCATGGCCGGCACACGGGCAAGCATGGGAACATTGGAGAATGTAAGCATGGGAGCACAGCCGAAAATAGAGGGAGTAAAACACAACTTGTCACGAGACTGAGTATAGTGGGAAAAAAAACAGATGCAGGAATAGCCATCGTGTGAGAGCAGATGAGAAGGACAGGCGGGAACAAGCTGCTCACCTCAATGCCATGTCTCTCCAGCATGGCGTCCATGTGCTCCACACACTCAATGCGAGTGCGGTTGTTCTTGGAGCGCAGCCCCTCCACCAGCGCTTGGAACACACGTGTGGCCGGGAAGACCAGCGGCAGCGACCGCATGAGCTCCCGCATCTTCTCCCTGATGTTGGCAATGTTGTGCCCCGACTGGTGGCGGTGGATGCGGTGGTAGTGGGGTAAGGGGGTGAAGAATGAGTGGAAGCAGCAGAGAGGAAAGCACAAGTGAAAATGCGTCTGGACGTTGAGAAGACGAGGGAAACGAAACCGAGAGCTGAGACCAAAACCCCTGACGAGGGCCACGAGCTCAGCATGTGCGTACCTTCTCGACGAGGCAGGGCAGGAGATGTTGGCCTCGTATTCAGTGAGGATGTATCCCTCTATCGTGAGCACTTGCACGAGGTCTGTGAGGAAGTCGAGGGACCGAAGCCCCTCCACATCCTATGTCGAGGGATGTAGCATGTACGCACCTTTTCAACGAGGCAGGGCAGGAGGATGTTGGCCTCGTATTCAGTGAGGATGTACCCCTCTATGGTGAGCACTTGCACGAGGTCCGTGAGGAAGTCAAGGGCGCGCAGCAGCGATGTGGTGTTGGCCTCCGCTATGCGCAGCACAAACCAGCGCAGGAGGAGGTCCAACACCTCCATGAACTCGTGTGGCTGCTGCTCCATGGCCTGGCGGTGTGGGAGAGGAGGCGAGGAAATGCATTTTTTAGTCAACACGACAACACAAACCAGCGCAGGAGGAGGTCCAACACCTCCATGAACTCGTGTGGCTGTTGCTCCATGGCCTGATCAGTGTGGGAAAGAGGGGGAGATGGAGAGAGGGAGTGCACTATTGAGTCGACTCAAAAGGCACGAACCAATCAACAGCAGATCCAACACCTCCATGAACTCGTGTGCTGCTGCTCCATCACCTGATCAGTGTGGGCGAGAGGGAGGGTAAATGTGGCTCGGAGGCAATGAGGGTACTGGCATGCAGCGGACACAACATAAGATTGGTCGGCATTGATGCCGGAAGAGTTTCAGCATAGCCAGAAGGAACAAGTGAGGGCACTGCACGACAGCTTCCTCCAATGACCATGTAATGACATCGATCCTACACATGAGCCCACCCATGGTTCAACGCAAGGGGCTGCGCACGAGCAGAAAAGAGCAACGTCCTCGCTACAAGGTCAAAAGAGGTAACGAGACGAAGGTAGGGCGAGAAAGAGGCGGAAAGGGAGAGTAGAGGGAGGTGTAAAGGGAGGGGAGGAGCGAGCATACCTTGTGGAAGATGTCGATGACAGCAACGTGCTGTTTGAAGTCCTTGCTGAACATGCGCTGCACCAGGTCCTCCCTGAATATCTTCGCCACGTCCGCCTGCACCACACACATGCACACGCACACACAGGGGTAAACCATGTGAAGCGTGTCACATACAGTGCCAGAAGAAGTGTGGTGGGTCTCATGGGCAGGGTATGGATATTACTGGGGGAGAGCATGATGGTCAAGCTTGCATGCCAAAGGGCCGAGTTACTCACTCTCTCTCTCTTTGCTTCCACCACCCACTCACCTCCAGCTCTTGCAGCTGCTCTGGTCGGGGGTCCTCGTACTTGACTTTGATGCCACGTGGCGACCGATCCCTCTCCTCCTGCACCAACAGCAACAGGAACGGCAAATAACATCCCTTCATCAGTTCCAGTTCTGCAGTTCACATCCCAATCACGCATAGGGCAGGTCTGGAGGTAAAGCGTACCTTGATGGACTCCCTGAGGTTGAAGAGCGGCTCATTTTGCAGCGCTGCCTCCTGCAGTGCTGCCTGCATCTGCCGTGCTCCCAGCTTCGATGCCGACGCTGGTGACCGCCCCACCTGCCCCACAGGCATTGAGGGGACGAGGGGCACAGTTACAAAGGCAGACACGAGTGAGTGGCTGAACGCCGGAAACCGTGACTTTGAAAGCCAGCATGCCACCAGCGAACAAGCGAGCACTGGACAGCAAACTATAGGCGTACCGGTGCAGGCAGGGCGGTCCGGCCCCCAGAACCAGGCGAGGGGGGCCTGGTGCCACGAGATGTGCCTTTGAGGGCCGGGCTGATGACAGGCGCCTCCTCCTCGTCCTCCTCCATGCCGTCCGCACTCCCTGCTGACACCCGGTGCTTCTCCGATATCAGCAACACCGGCGGCTGCGCTGCTGTTGGCAGATCGTGCTTTGCTGCCTTGCTCACCTGAGGCACGAGAATCGGCACCCCGACAAAATCGCACATGGCAAGCACAAAAGAGAAAATGATTACAGGAGGAACTTGCGCTGAAGAAAAGAGCATGATCAGGGGAGGAACATGAGCAGCATTTCAAACGAGAAGCTGCAACCAAGGCGTGGTGAGGTTGAGCAACCAGGTTGCACTCACAGCGTCGCAGCCACAGGCCTTGACGAGCTCCGTGGTGAGGGCTTCAGCTGCCTTGCGGATCTCCTGTGACTTGTCCTGCAGGCCAGCAGCACACGCACGCAGCAGTGTGATCGCACTGCCGGGGTCGCTCTTGGAGAGCACCTGCTGCCGCAGCATCCACTCGTACAGCTCCTTGCGCCCGTCCGCTGCTATCTTCACGTCCACCATCGCCGGCGCCACCACCGGGATCTGAGCACACAGCAGGTGTGGAAAGAACACAAAGAGGAATGAGGGATCAAGCAAGCTTAAGCAGCTCCTTGCGCCCATCCGCTGCTATCTTCACATCCACCATCGCCGGCGCCACCACCGGGATCTGAGCACACAGCAGGCGCAACCACAGAGAAAGAACCCATACGTTTTCAGTACCAACTTTTACAGTGGCCAAGAGGGAGGAGAGGTCAAGCTAGCTTAAGTGAAGTAGGGTGGTGGTGGTTGTGTCGCGTACCATTTTGTCGGGGCCCAGCGCTCCCAGCCAGGAGTCGAGGGCCTTGACGACTGCCTCCCTGGTCTGGCGCTTGGGGTCACTCAGGCACTTGAGCACGTCCGATATGATGCCCTGCGATTCTCAGAAGGAAGCACATAACGGAGGGAGAGACGGATCAGGTTCACAAGAAATACATCCCAGAAAAACCGGGGCTGAGCTTTGGAAACAGCAGAGGCAGGTGGAGAAGCAGGGTGGTGACCTGATGAGCAGAGGGTGGGGGAGGAGCGACTTACCCGGCTTTGCTTGTCGACCGGTGCGCCCATGGCGTCTGCGAGGTTGGCGATGGTGTTCATGGCGAGAATGATGAGGTTCTTGTTGCTGTCTGATAGCCGCGCCTTTAGTGCCCCAAACACCTCAACTGCACCACGTCCAGCACAGCAAAGGCGGGAGATTGAGGCAGGAGATGATTGATAGCAGGTGGGTATGCTTGATAGTGCATGCAGGAGATACGCCATAAAACGCTGAGCTGGTTGCGAAAGGTGGGAGCAGGGAGGTGGCTGGCTGGGTGGCTGCACTCACATGTGCCTTCGGGCAGGATGCGGCGATTGGCCTCCTCCACAATGCCATTGACTGCGTCCATCGACTCCTGCCGCACCTGAGAACACAGAGTTGGGAAGAGGAATAGCATTGAGGATACAGAGGTCAGACACAACCTAGTGGGCCAACTGCGAGACCACACAGCATCCCAGCAGTACTTAGAATCACAGAACCTATCTTCACCCCTCTGGGCCTCTGCCACCCCATCTTTGTGTCAGGTGAGACTGCAAGGGGTTTCCAAGGCAGCACACACTCACCTTCCAGTTGGAGTTGCCCAGGTTGGCGATGAGGGTGGCTGTCAGCTTCGCACTGATATCCTCTCTCAAGAAATCTCACCAGTGGCTTGGATACAGGCAGCACGCTCACCTTCCAGTTGGAGTTCCCCAGGTTGGCAATGAGGGTGGCCGTCAGCTTCGCACTGATGTCCTCTCGAGGCAGCCCCGCCCCTCCACCTCCGCCTCCTACCACCTCCCCCTCTGCTGCTGCTGCCTCACCACCTGCCCCGCTTGACGGGCGCTTCACTGTTCTCGTTGGCGCTGCTGATGGCTGTCACAGGCAAGCCAAGCAGTGACAGCACGAGGGGAATAAGGTTAGGGTATCACAACGAACCGGGGAGAGCAGAGCGCGGGAGTGGGAGGAGGGGAAAACGGGATGAAAAAGGGCCAGGTGAGATATAAGGTGGTGGTTTGGCAAGAGCAGGTGAGAGAAGAGCTGGGGGCAACAGGAGGCAGCAAAGGCGGAGGGTACCTCATGGGGATTCTTCTCGAACTCTGTTTCCACTGAAGTCATGAGGGCGGGCTTGAGGTCAGTCAGGAAGCCCTTCAGATCTGCAGGGGACGACCAGGCAGGGCGAACAGACACAATCAGTGAGCGGCAGCAGGCTAGCAGCTATGCAGCACAGGTATGTGCGCGGCAACAGGTATACTCTGTGTGGATCATGGATGACCACTGGTCATGCACGCCTTCCACTCCACGCTGCAACGAATTGCAGTGTGCGGCGCAGCTCACCTGGCCCCACGTATTTGTGCATGGCGCCCAGCAGCTTGGTGGCGGCACCTCGGCACGGCGCATTGCTGGAGCCCAGCCCCACGTTCTTCACAAACTCCAGCAGCTCCTGCCGCGCGAGATAGAGAGAGCACCACAGGGCAATCAAAATCGGATCAGATACAGCACACTCACATGCCAGGGCACAGAACATTACAAGGAAAAGACCAGGCAGCATACGCTGTGTGCCACCCTCTGCCACTGCTCAGTGGTACGCGTGCCAACGTAGCCACTGAAGGAATGAAGGACTCACCTTGAGGTTGAGCTGGGCAGTGCCGAATTCGTCGACAGCTGTGACCATCCATGTGATGCTCTCCGCCAGCACCTTGGGGTTCTTGTGCGCGCTCACTATGGGGATGCTCTGCAGGGGAAGCAGCACGCGATGCGTGAGCCACATGAATCGACTGTGCATAAAGATGTGCGCGCACAATATGGGGTGCGCCACGTGATTACAGTGAGCGCACGACGTTGTGTTGTGTGTGAAGATGTGCGCGTGAGTGACGGTTTGCAGAGGAAAAGTGTTCTTACTCTCGTGAAGATGAACTGAGGGCCGACGCATTCTGCGAGCGTGGTGAGGCACGCTGTGGATTGGATGCGCGTCTTGATGTCCCCCACCCTCTCGATAAGACCTGGAACAAGGTGCGCACACATGCATGCAGCAGAGTAAGACACAACACAAAGCCGCCTCTCCAAGCCTTTTACCATATGAGAAGGCCACGCAGCAGGGAGGCAATGCAGCTGAGAAACAGCAGTGGATCCTGGCATTCAGGGAAAGCTCCTTCCTGGAGGCCCGTACCTTCGATGCAGAGCACGACGCACTTCTTGGGGAACCGGTCCACCTTGTCAGCCAGGGCTGACACGCACTCCAGCATCTTCTGCAACACCTGTTGCCATCGCCACCACAGAGTAGAGCAGATCACCAGGGTCAGCGATTTGGGAGCTGACGAGCGTACCAGACGGCAGATAGTACAAGGATGGTGTAACACAAACAGCTGTTGGGAGGGTGGTAGTTACCTGGACGTTCTTGTCGGACCAGCCAGGGGTGGTGGAGATGAGGCGCACAAGGGTCTCAACGTTGGCCTGTGCGTCTGCCATGCTGGGAACCATCTCCTTGATGTTCGTCATCGCTGCCCACCCACACGTGCCCCACACACATAGGTTGGTATAGATCAGACATAGCCAACGCATGAGTAAAGAACGAACCGCATGGCCCAATGTACATTGTGACAGCCATAATCAGAAAGAGAAAACGGCAACACGGAGGCTAGCAGCCGAAAAGTTGTGTTGTGTGCGGCTGTGGATGTTAGCAGAGAGGTTGCGGCTCACCCTCGAGGCGCTCCTTCCAAGCGGAGCTCTTGAGGTTGTCCACCATCTCTGGCGGCAGCACTGCCTTGGCCCGCTCCTCCACTACCTCCGGACTCCATGGCTCCGGCTGCACCCAGAGGGAGAGAGGCGGGGAGAGATGTGCTTTAAGCAGGAGGGATTGCACAGGGGAACGGCAGGACGGAGTTGCTCACCATGCAAGGGTACATGTGATGCGATGGTGGCAAGGTTGTGCAAGTAGCATGCTGCGCAACACAACACACCTCGATTTCCTCCGGTGGTGCTGCTGCCTGGGCGGGCTTCTTAGCATCGCTGCCAGCCTTCTTGCCTCCAGCAGCCGAGCTGCCAGTCTCCACCTTGGCGCCTGTGGCGGACTGGAAAATGGAAGAGAGCACCGCACGTGTGAGCAGCATTGCGAGGCACAACGGGGTCAGGAGCAGCACGACAAGGCGCCACCCAAAGGAGGCACCACCTAGAGGACATTTACGCATGGCACTCTGCTCATGGCACAGGATGGCAAAGGACAGCAGCATACGGAACTGTGAGGCATAGGTATGCATGAAAAAATTCTCCCAGAAGGCATGAGACCTGCCGGTTGCTCCATACCGGGCGAGCTCCGGCTTTGCCGCTGAGCAGGCTGGCTGCAGACGCCTTGGCGGGAGGAGGCGCTCTGGACGCCGCCTGGCTGCCGCCAGAGGTCCTGCTGGCCGCAGCTGCACAAAGAATGGATGGGCGTGGACGGAGGGACACAGGCCAGTGGGTTGTGCATGCATGGGCACAGACAGGGGGTGGGGGTGGGTGGGAAACTGTGGCATGGATGGTAGCACAAGGAAAGAGAAAGCGCGTCACAGTGTGTGCGTTGAAGAGGAAGGAGGGAAACTTATGTTCATGTGGTGTGTGCGCACACACGAGCAGGGGGCATGGAATGGGGGGCCAGGGAGGTGCAGCAGGGAAGGCAGCTGACCTTGAGGTGGCGCGTCGACAGTGACGCCAGCACTGGCAATGACGTCAATGAGCTTCTTCTTGCGCACCTCATCCACCGACTCCAGGTGCCTCTCCAACGGCTTCATGCCCACGCACTGCACCCATAGGCAGCACGGCAGGGAAACATTTGTCAAGTCACGGCTTTATCAAAGACATGGATATGTCAGCACACTTACTGTCCAATTTGGCAAAACATATGCTACATAACACGGTGGAGATAGCTGGAAAGAGCACTGTACCTTGGCAACGTTCGCAAGGGCGTTGAAGCCAGCTTCTCGAACATCCACTGTCCCATCTTGCAGGCTCTGCACGTTTCAACCAGTGTCAGACGGGAAGGGAGGATTGGTTGGTGAGTGCACTTGCTTAAAGAAAGAGCCAGCTAAGGTTCATACAAGGTTGCATTGGGGGTGGAAGAGTGTTACGCGTGCCAAACGTACCTCGATGAGCATGGGGATGAGCTCCTTGTGCACCGCCATGACTTGCGGCCGCTTGCTGGCCTCGATGCACACAGCCACCCACCCCAGCACCTCCGAGCGGACCTGCGGCACCTTGTGCTTCGCGGCCGCGGCGATGTCTGCTCGTGAGGGCACATGGACATGCGAGGGTTATGGACGTGGGGGTGGACAGGGGAAAGGGTTTTTACCCATATAGTTGTGGATGCAGTCCGAGGGCACGGATACGGACACGGACATCAACATGGACAGTGCACTGCGTGTGGTGAGTCATCACGACATAAGGCCATACTGGATGCAACATCAGCCTAGAGTGGAAGAACCTTAGCTTACCCTCGAGTGCGTCCGTCAGTGCCAAGCACCCTGAGACGTAGAACGCCTTGAGCGTGTCTCGAATGGCCTGCACCACTGTCGGCTTCTTCTCCTTGTACCTCTCCTGAACAAGACACAAACGGTGCACAGGCGTGAGACAAGCAATAGGATTAATGCGGAGGGAAACGTCCCTGATCATCCAGGAGGAGCGTGAGAGCACCACGTACCAATAGGGCTGGCAGCATGAGTCGTGCTCCAGATGAGAAGTCCTTTCTTAAACCCTTAGCCAGGTTGCCGGCTGCCTGAATGGCCTCCGTGGCGACTGCAATGTTCACATCTGTGGTCAGCTGCACAACGGGAACAGGACGTACACAACACGAAAGTCCTACGTGTCAGCAAAGTAGTGGCAGGAAGAAGTCTTTACTGGCAGGAATCATGTGGTCGAAGTCAGCACAAACAATACCTTCTTCAAGCTTCGTTGGATGTCCTGAAAGTCTCCTGGTGCGATGCGTATGGTGCTGGCCAGCTTGGTCAGCTCTGCAATAGCATCGCGCCTCTCTGACCACTTGGTAGCTTTCTGCACAGGGAAAAGGTGAGCAAGCAACGCAAATTGCAAATAATCACAACGTAGGCATACCCAAGCATGCACGGGCCAGAAGTGAGACACAATGTCAGCTAGAATGGAGGAGGCCACTCACAATGCCATCGTAGAAGGTCGTTTTGGATAGCGGCGTCAAGATGTCCACGGGGTCCGCCAGGTCGTAATCGTCAATCACAGGCGGAGCTGCAGCCACACGCAGGACCACGCATTGAGATTATGAGCATACAGCTGTGGAGATTCTCCGAAAGCAGGCAATTATGTTCCAATCAACGGTTAAAGAGGGCGCAATCCCTTACCCTCAGGCTCTGCGGCCTTGGAGTCGTCTGCTGGGGCATCCAGCACCTCGGGCTCCTCTATCTCCATCATCTGCTCCGAACGGATCCTCCTCGTCGGAACAGCACGCCCTTCGACACGCTCGAATTCCGCCTCGAGCTCCGCTTTCTGCGTGGAGCAAGCAGAGCGGAAATGGTCATGATGAGCCGCTCACTAAGAACCGAAACGGCGATGATAATCGCAAGCCCTGATGTTTCCAGCGGTCACGCACCGTGGCGTCACGGAGCCCTTCGAACAGCAAGCGCTTGACGGTGTCCTTTCCCAGCCAGCGACAGAGCTCGACAGTGAGCCCCTTGGAGCATTGCCGCACCCCCTGGTCCGCGTGGTTGAACAAGCCGGGAAGCATCTTGAAGATGCGCTTCGGAGGAACCACGCCTGTGCCGAATTGGCTGCAAAACGAAGGATTTGAGAACCACGTCAGCCGATGTTTAACATTAAAAGGTACGGACGGCGATTCCGACACTGCTGTCGCGAGAAAAGCGGTTAGTCGCAAGCAGCTCACCTTAGCGCTTGGTACATGGCGTCAATGGCTGGCACTACGGCCTTCGCCACTTTGTGTTTCACCGCTTTCTCCATGCAGTCCTGCACGCGGTCACCAGGAACAGATTAGTTTGAATCGCATGGTGAAGCTGACCGTGAATTAACAGCAACAAAGACATTTCTGCTCACCAGGAAAACCTCGACGGCCTCGAGCTCGACCCAAAGAAGGAACGAGGACTGAGCTCTCTCGACTGTCTTAGGTCGACCCGTGAGGCACTTCGTAGCCGTAGCATCGCAGATTTCCTTGGCGAACCTAATCCATTAGAAAAGAAGTGCGTCAGGCGAGACTTAATTGGAGGCTTCACTACAAGCATTGTCGTAGATTCTCACCTCGCAACATCGGCATCTGCTGCCAACTGAAAGGCTATCAAAGCATCTAAAGCCTTTTCTTGTGCAGGCGCGTTCGCATCAGATACTGCTTTCTTCAACAAATGGCCTGGAACGTGACAGACAATGAATGAGACTTTCGTTCGGCAGCTTTACAGTCGAAATCGATACGTCAACGGATGCTAATACGAACCGAATTCTTTAAGCTTGGGGTCTTTCGGATCCTTAATCTTGTTGCAAGAATCTGCGATATCCAAATACACCTCGTTCCTAACCTTCCAGTTCTTATGCGCTATCCTATCTTCGAAAGGGAGCTTCTTCGCCTCCTGCAATACCTTCTCTTCTTCTGAAGCCATGGTTCGTCTAACGACAAAACGGTTCTACGCAAAAACACTACTCAACAGTACCGTAAGCGGCGATCACGAAGAAAATAGTAGCTGCTTTGAAATAGGCGTATCTAGCTAACAATCAGCTACTCTGACCAACAGCAGGATGTTCTCTAGGCCTAGGATGTGATGTGACACTGATGCAAACCTCGAGCTTGAATTCTGTTTTGTTGTTGTTCGCCTACGCTGGGAGCCTGTCTGACAGGTGGTGCAAGGCAAACCCATTCCTGGTGACCTGACCAGAGTTCTCACGCTGTGACCCGTCCGTCATGATCGAGGTGAGGTGCCAATAACGAGTGAAAGTGCTTCCCTCAGTTCGAGCGACTCGTGATTGGTGTGGTCTTTTCCTCGGTGACCTCCTCCCGCCACCCGAAGTCAGAAGGTTGGGTCGTGTGTCAGAGAGCGCTGCGTCATTGAAGGAACACAAAGTGTAACACAGCATCAAGTTTTATTTGTCACATAATTATGTCCCTTCAGTGTAAAAAACCAATGCATTTGCTCCCCTTATTTTGCATGAGTAACAATTGAGCGAAGCTACCACTGAAATTTACTATTATAGCCAATATGTTGACGTATCTCTATGTGAAATACACTATACCGTGTGATGTATGTGTTTGTGAAAGCGTAAGCATTTAAGTAAATTACTAGTCAACCTATGACCGGTCTGTACACCAACTTATGAAGTGCTAAATGAGCAATGCCAAATTAGCAAGACAAACTCGAAGCGGCAGCCCACTCCCGCCAAAATGTCTCACACAAAGCTCATGAAACCCGATGTGCACACAATTTCGCATGCATGAGGCCAGCGAAACAGCTTTTCTCCACTCTCGTGCAACTATTTCGCACACGAAATTCTGCTGGTTGCACGATGGTCAAACCAGCCCCATGTGGCGCCAGCGAAACGATTTGCACGTGATACACTTCGTCGGCCGCGTCGCTTGACTTTTGTGGACGTGCCAATTGTGATGCTTTTGGCGACGCTCATCGCAAAGCATACTCCTGCATAGTTGTGCAATGTGCACCACATTCCGCCGCTAGTCCTGCCTACTACTAAGCCTTGCGATTCGCAAATGAGCAGGCCATCACATACATTTGATATCTGTGCATGTCTGCAGCGGCGTGCTTTCATGCGCCTGTTCTAGTAGAGGGCTCAAGCTAGTTGCGAGCCTTGGTAGTAGCATTCTCGCGCCTCTCATCTCGTTTACAAGCTATTGAAATAATGGCTCCTTCGCTACGCTCCAGGTGGCCTCTTGCGGTTGTGTTGCTCGTCGCAATTGCGGGATTTCCTGCAGCAGTACTGGGATACGACACGTCGTTCGACCGATACTTTCAATTCGCGCCGTACTGCAAAGGGCAGTACTACTGCGAGCGCGCGGGCGATGGAACCGTCGCGATTTCCGCTCACTGGAACAAAGTCGGAGGTACGTTTGGTGATTTTACTCTCACCTTCAGGCGCATGTGCGATGCGCGTTCAGCGGTAGGATCCCCCGTTCCAGTCTGGTTTCCACAATGATATAATGTTCGCTGCTTTTCTTCTCATTTGTTCTTTTTTTTTTTTGCCGTGTCCTTGTTGTTGCTGTCTTTGCACACCAGCCTTTTCCTCGTACGGACAGTACCAGTACGGCATATTCAGCGTGAAGATGAAGATGCCAGCCGGCTACTCCGGCGGCATCATTCCGTGCTTCTACCTCATCTCGGGTAACAACCCGGGTTACAAGGACATCCACGACGAGATCGACTTCGAGATCCTGGGCGCAGAGAACCCGCGCGATATGATCATCCACACGAACCTCATCACGGGCGGCCAGACCAACCTGGAGCAGGTGCGTTGCGAGTTCCAAACGAGCAGACGAGTCCTGCTTGGCGACTTCATTTATCGAGATGACTGTTCTGTGCTGCACGCTCTTCCGCATCCTTCAGGAGAATGCGTTTACCATTCGTGCTCACAATGTCACCTTGACCCTATCGCCTCCATGGCCTCCTGCCCTGATTCTCCCTCTGCCCTTTTCCCCGCAGTTCCGCTTCCCGTTCGACCCGTCGGCGGACTTCCACACGTACACGATCATCTACTCGCCGCGCTTCATCGTGTGGGAAATCGACAACACACCCATCCGCGTCACCCTCAAGACCCCTGGCAGACCCTTCCCCTCCGCGCCCGTTCAAGTCAAGGTAAGTCCCCTCCCCGTGCAGCAAACTCTCTGTCTCAAACCAGCAGACTACCATTGCAGGCAGAATAGTACTCTCCCCGTCCACTTTCCTCCCCTTCCCCTCCGCCTCCACATGGCGAATCCGGGTCTAAACAGCTTTTCTTACGCTGCCTTCTAAACCCGTCCGCCCAAGCAGGCATCCATCTGGGACGCGTCGAGCTGGAGCCCGTTAAAGCCCGACTGGAACAAGGGCAAGGTGACGGCCCAGTTCAAAGACTTCGACTTGACCAGGACATGCGCCGTTCCGCCCACGGGCAAGCGCCCCGCGTGCGCGGATGAGACGAACAGGCAGAAGGCGCCATGGCTGTACAACCTGCCGCCCAAGCAGATTCAGAATTTCAAGAAGTTCAGGAGGAGTTATGTGAAGGCGTCGTATGGCTGGGAGGTGATTCAGTAAGGTTTGGGGAAGGAAATAACAGGGATTGCCGACTGATACCAGCGCACAGAGCAATCCGTAACCAAGCTCAATAGGTTTCCCTAGGACTTGGGTAATAAATCTGGGATGTGGTCCCATTGCTGACTCTTTGATAATAGAAGAGAAACATGGGAGTAGTGCGTAATGCTTTGGATGGACTGCCTAATGGTTATTGGCTGTCACGCTTCCAGCAAACACTTGCAAGAGAGCCAAGAGCAATCCATAACCAAGCTCAATAGGTTTCCCTAGGACTTGGGTAATTATCTGGGATGTGGTCCCATTGCTGACTCTTTGATAATAGAATGTTGCTATACTTGCTCTTCACATCGACATTGCAGAACACAAGAGAAACATGGGAGTAGTGCGTAATGCTTTGGATGGACTGCCTAATGGTTATTGGCTGTCACGCTTCCAGCAAACACTTGCAAGAGAGCCAAGAGAGCCTGCATCTACCTGTACCGGTACTTGTTCATGCCTTGCCATCCTTTCACAGTGCCCCCTAAATTGTACAGGCACAACGTACAGCATTGTCATCCAGGCAAGCATCCTGTAAAGCAGGGTGAATTTGCTACTGAGAAGCATTTGCACAACTACAATGGATTCCCAAACTTTAAATGGTATCCTGACTTCAAAACGCCACGCATGCACAGGAAATTTTTTTCAAGAGTTATGCTCAACGTCAGGAGGGGTGTGAGGGAGCGAGATCGTGAAGTGGGACTTTATTTACGAACCGTACAATCATGCTGAATGGTAACCACCGTCAGAACTGTCTCATAGGGGGGCCGCGCGAGGCCCCATCCAAACGGACAGAAACTCATTCTTCAGCGCGAGCTTCCTCTCCTCCCGGCACGGACACTGTTTGTTGGACCATTGCCATCTCATCCTTGGCCAGGTGGTCCCCTTTACTGTCCTGTTTCCTTGCCAGCATCCGTCTCCGCTTGACGTGCTCATATGTTCATGTGGAGGCCGAAAGGTGCCGGCTACGGTAACGTAGAAACCAGATGAAGTTCTATCGTGCTGAAACAACAGATCCCCCAGAAACCTACCTATGGTTTTTGTGAAGTATGTTGAAATCCCAAAGGGGACTTAGCGAAGGATCGCTCAGGGTTGATCGCAGAGTAGTGTTGCAGCGGAAGTTTGAATCTCAGGTCAGAGTGAATGTAAAATGACTGAGTTGATAATAGCATGCATACATCGAGTTTATATAAGAATACAGGGGAATACGAAAAGACCTAGACTAGCCATGTACTCTAAGGGGTACATTCCCTTATTACAACCGAATTCAAACCGTGCGGCGCGGGAACCCGTTTCAAACATGTTCCCGCTCTTTTTACTTCAAATGTTTCTACCAGCATCGGTCTTGGTCAGACGGTTGCTGCGTCGCTTCGACTCTTCTGACTCCTCGACTTCGTACTCGGTATAGTCGGCTCCTGCAGCATACAGGAATGCCTTCTCATAAAACTTCATATCGTAACACTCCCCTTCATTCCTGGACGCGGGTGGAGCTGACTCGCTTGACTACTCCGGTGAGGTCAGAGCAGTGCTTGTACTGCTGACGTGGCAGACGCTTGGTGAGGAAGTCTGCTGCCATCTCAATGGTCGGGCAGTAGGCGAGGTCAACTTTGCCTTGGTCGATTTCGTCCTTGACGAAGAAGTACCGAAGCGCGATGTGCTTCGTGCGATTCACGAAACCTGGCTTGTTCGCGATCCTGATGGCACTCTGGTTGTCGCAGTGAAGGCGAAAGGTAGGCGAAGTTGGAATTTTCGCCTCCTGTAGCAGCTCCTGTAGGTACAGGCCTTCGCGAACTGCTGCTGTCGCGGCGATGTATTCTGCTTCAGCCGATGACAGGGCAACCAGCTCTTGCTTCTGCGAGTTCCAGGAGATTGGCCCAGTTGGTTCCAAGCGAAAAACGAAGCCGGTTCGGGACCGTCGATTTGCAGGATCAGCTGCATGATCTGCGTCCACGTAGCCGTTGAGGTTGAAGGAGGTGGTCGTCAGCGTGGAGTAGGAGAGCCCAATGTCAGGAGTGGAAATGAAGTACTGCAGGGCGCGCTCCAGGTCCAGCTGGTTCTCAGCTACTGGCTTGCGAGAGTACTGCGCCAGTTGGCTGGCGATGTACGAAAGGTCGGGTCGGCAGGTGACAGAGGCGAATAGCAGGCACCCCAACTTCGCTGATACATTTGGAGTCCTGCGGGTGACAGAGGTTTGTTGTCCGGTTCGTAGTTGGCGCTGGGGTTGCGGTAGGGAGTTGAGAGTGGTGCCGAGGAGATGTTGAAGCGTTCTCCTAGCTGTTCCGCGTACTTGGAGGCTGACAGATGAATTGCTTCTGGCGCGTAAGTGATGTTTAACCCCAAAAACTGCTTCACTTCAAGGTTGATGGTAATGTCCACGCGCTGCGCCAGGTTCTCCTGAAACTGATCGAGGAGTTTGTTGCAGGTGCCCGTGTACAGTAGGTCGTCGACGTAGACTGTCAGGAGGATGTAATCGTCGCTGAAGTGAAGGCGATACATTCCCGGGTCGTGCAGGAGCTGTTTGAAACCGATTTCGAGGAGGATTTTGTGCAGATGCTGCTGCCAGAGGCGAGGCGCCTGCTTGATCCCGTAGAGGGACTTCTTCAGTTGACAGACCCTGTGATCACCTTCTCCGTAGGTGTGTGGCTGCTCCACAAAGATGGTGGCATCCACCAACGCGTACAAAAACGCGTTCTTCACGTCGATCTGTCGCAGTGGCAGGTGCTTCGCGGCGGCAATAGCGAGTAGAATCCGGACTGAGGTGTGGCGACTGACGGGAGCGAAGGTTTGATCGAAGTCGATGCCGTGGCGCTGATCGTACCCGCGTACGACCCAGCGTGCCTTGAAACGCTCGATAGTGCCGTCAGCGTTAGTCTTCAGGCGAAAGACCCACTTCCCGCTGAGCACCCTCCTCCCCTTCACTGCTGCACGATCGACTAGGACCCAGGTGTCACGTGATTCCAGCGCCTTGAGCTCCGCATCCATCGCAGCACGCCACTCCTTGGCGTGAGGGCCGGTTAGGGCCTGCCGAGGATTCTTTGGCTCCACGGCCCGTGCAAGAGTAGAGACGGATGTGTGTAGGCCGAGAAGTTGAAGGCCTGACACATTGGTGGTGTCTGTGTTGGTGGGGACTTCCACCACGTCGTCGTCTCCGCTCTCATAGCCGGGTGCTATGGTGCTTGGCTCTGCTTGGCGCCGTGATGGTCCTGGCGCGGGGTCATCATCGCTGTCATCGTCGTCGTCGTCGCGCGGGCGAGGTGGGATGCTGGGATGTTCGTCGGTGTCGTCGCGGTCCAGTACTGCTGCTGCTGCCTCGTCTTCTGGAGTCGCGAAGCTGCGACCGTGGTTGACGTAGCCGCGTGCTTCGTTGCGCCGCTCGTCCTCGATCCACTGCTTCAAGGTGAGCCGCTCGTAGAAGAGGATATCTCGCGCGGGAACAACTTCTTTGCTGTCCATGTCGAGGATGAGCCATCCCTTGTGCTCATTACTGAGACCCAAGTGAATACCCCAGCGCGCGCGATGAACGAACTTGCCGATTGTGGCCGAGGTCGGCCGGTATTGCACCATGCACCCCCAAACCCTCAGCATGGAGGGGTCTCCCCTTGAGCCGGTCCACTTCATGTGAGGGGACAGGTTATCCCTGTTGGCGGTGGTGGAGAGGAGGTTGTGCAGGCGCACCGCGTGGTTCATGGCGTAAGGCCAGAACTTCTTTGGCAGGCCGGACTGGTTCATGATGGCGCGGACTTTGGTCATGAGCGTGCGATTGACCCTCTCGGCGACGCCTTGCTGCTGGTGAGCATAGGGGAGAGAAATCTCATGCTTAATCCCCTTCTCGGTGAGGACGCTCTCCAGCTCATTGCTGCGAAATTCCTTTGCCCCATCACTCTGCCAGATCTTCAGTTTCCTCCCCGACTGTCGCTGCGCATGCGCGAGGAAGATGCGGAACACCTCCGGAGCTTTGGAGCGAGCGTCGACGTTGGCGATCCACACATGGCGCGAGTAGGCGTCAATGAAGGTGAGGGTATATTTTTCGCCGTTGATGCCGTCAAAGGTGAGCACTATGAAATCGCTGTATACTTTCTCCAATTTCTTGTAGCGGTTGGTGCTCGGCTTCAGTGAGGGGTAGGCGCTGTGGGAGAGAGCGGCTGTGGGGCAGACAGTGCAAGTGGTTGGATGGGGGGTGGTGTGCTGTAACTCCGTTCCGTCGGGGCGCAGCAGTGCTCCTGGCGGGAAAACTTTGGCGCGGAGGCAGTTGGCGAGTGTCTGGCGCGAGGGGTGGCCCATCCGCTGGTGCCAGAGATCATATTCGGCGCGGATGCCAGAGGTACGCTTGTAACGGGTGTGATGCTCTGCTTCTTCTTCCGCCGTGAGTTGCGGGATCTGGAGTGGGGGTTCTTCCTCTTCTCCTGGTTCTGCTTCGCTGGCCGGTTCCTCTGCTTCTGCTTCTGCCGTTGCCTCCCCTTCTGCAGGTGCCGTTGTGAGGTAGAGCGCGAGGAATTCACGGTCGGGGATGATGGTGAGCGGTCGTGGTGCCTTCAATGAAGCGAGCAAGCGGATCTGGGCGGGAGATTGGACCAAGTGAGTCCCGCGGAGGAGTTGGCGGTACGTTCCCCTCCTCAATCTCCGACCAACGATCGCGCCACCGATGGGGGGAGGAGGGAGGTGAGCGGGTGCGTGGGGGTCGACCGAGTGGAATGGCAACACGAGGGGATGCTTCTCCGCGCTCAGCTTGCATCTCGCGTTCCATCTCTTCTTCTTCTTCTTTGGTAATTGGACCGTCCACGTATTCGTTTCCTCCCCATCCGCCGGTGTTGCCCCATCCTTCCGTGTTGACCGTACCGCTGGCGCTGGCACCCCATGCTCCAGTGGCGGATCCCCAGGTTGCTCCATCGCCTTCTTCTGGTTCGTAATCTTCATCTCCCCATGCGCCACGTCGTGCTGTCTCCTCGTCCCATCCAGCCGCGACACGC